GAAGGTTGAAAACCAGGCGGGCTGCTGCGTTCTGGATAAGTTGCAGTGGTTTGATTGCACAAGCGGGGAGTCCAGCCAACAGCGAGTTGCAGTAGTCCAGACGGGAGAGGACAAGTGCCTGGATTACGACCTGCGCCACTTCCTGTGTGAGATAGGGTCGTACTCTACGGACGTTGTAGAGTATGAACCTGCAGGGGCGGGTCACTGCTTTTAATGTTTACAGAGAATGACAGGGTGTTGTCCAGGGTCACGCGAAGGCTCTTTGCACTCTGGGAGGGTGACACTGTGGAGTTGTCAACCGTGATGGAGAGGTCTGAGTGAACAGGCCTTCCCCAGAAGGAAGAGCAGTTTTGTCTTGTCGAGGTTGAGCTTGAGGTGGTAGGCCGACATGCAAGTTGAGATATCTGCCAGGCATGTAGAGATGTGTCAGAAGGGGGGGAAGGAGAAAACTAGTTGAGTGTCATACGCATAGCAATGATAGGAGAGACCATGTGAGGATATTATGGAGCTGAGTGACTTGGTGTATAGAGAGAAGAGGAGAGGGCCTAGAACCGAGCCCTGGGGGACACCAGTAGTGAGAGTACATGGTGCAGACACAGATCCTCTCCACGTCACCTGGTAGGAGTGGCCTGCCAGGTAGGATGCAATCCAAGAGTGTGCATAGCCTGAGAAGCTCAGCCCTGAGAGGGTGGAGAGGAGGATATGATAGTTCACGGTGTCGAAGGCAGCGGATAGATCTAGGAGGATGAGAACAGAGGGGAGAGAGTCAGCTTTGGCAGTGCGGAGAGACTCCGGGACACAGAGAAGAGCAGTCTCGGTTGAGTGACCCGTCTTGAAGCCTGACTGGTTAGGGTCAAGAAGATCATTCTGAGAGAGATAACGAGAAAGTTGATCAGAGACAGCACGCTCAAATGTTTGGGAAAGAAAAGAAATAAGGGATACAGGTCTATAGTTTTTGACGTCAGATGAGTCGAGTGTTGGTTTCTTGAGGAGGGGAGCAACTCGGGCCATTTTGAAGTCAGAGCGGACGCAGCCAGTGGTCAGGGATGAGTTGATGAGGGAAGTGAGTAATGGGAAAAGGTCTCCAGAGATGGTCTGGAGAAGGGAGGAGGGGATGGGGTCGAGCGGGCAGGTTGTCGGGCGGCCAGACCTCACTAGTCACAGGATGTCATCTGGAGAGAGAGGGGAGAAAGAGGTCAAGGCATAGGGTAGTTCTGTGTGTGTGAGATCAGTGGACTCAATATGCAGAGTGAATGAGTAGTGGATGTCATAGGATGCGGAAAGGGAGAAGAGTAGGGTCGAAGAGGCAGAATCAGGAGACAGGAGGGAGAAGGATTTAGCAGAAGGTAGAGATGATAGTATAGAAGAGGAGAGAGTAATGGGAGAGAGAGAGCGAAGATTGCAACGGCGCATGACCATCTGGGTAGGGGCTGAGCGGTTAGGATTGGAGGAAAGGGAGACAGAAATAGAAACAAAGTAGTGATCAGAGACTGGAGGGGGTTGCAGTGAGATTAGTAGGCAAGCAGACTCTAGTATAAATGAGGTCAAGCGTATTGCCTGCCTTATGAGTTGGAGGGGATTGGGAAAGGGTCAAAAGAAGCAAGGAGGGGAAAGAAAGAGTTGGAAAGAAATTTATCGGACAGACGTCGGGAGGTTGAAGTCACCAATTACGAAGAGCGGTGAGCCATTATCACTCCTAGAGATATCAGGAGTCCTCTAGCTATAGATTGAAGCACACTGAGATGGAGCCTGAGAAGCTGGTTATATACACTCAGAAAAGAGATGAAACCACTCCCCCTGCAATACAGCCACTGATTACCAAAACAAGTTACAAATTGTGACTCGTTTCAGGAAACTAGGCGTATGTCATGGGTCACTACTTCACAGGAGAGCCATTTGAACGTAAACATATATTTTTTATCAAAATGAATTTCTGGGCAGAAATGCCTTCTGGAACATGTGAACTTTCATTTGCCTTAATAACAGTCTTGTATGCCATCTGTCAATACGATTAAAATTGTAAAATTACGAGCCTAGTTGGTTTAGCCACAGAAAAAGACATTAACCTTCCCGCTAGCCATGATTGGCTGAGATAAGGATTGGGCTGGACATGCCGAGAGATGAGTTCGGATTGGTCTGCCATATGGCATGCTTCTGTCTATGTGTGCTGGTCAGTATGTGTAGGTAATCCTGTCTAACGCTGCTTTTTGAAAAATGTATCACATCTACATCTATGTCATTTAGCAGACGCTCTTATCCAGAGCGACTTACAGGAGCAATTAGGGTTAAGTGCCTTGCTTAAGGGCACATCGACTGATTTTTCACCTAGTCGGCTCGGGGATTAGAACCAGCGACCTTTCGGTTACTGGCACAACGCTCTTAACCACTAAGCTACCTGCCGCCCTATAGAACTGCTTAAGTGTTGCTCTCTACTTTCTGGAGGACCGAGTTTTGAAATCAGTGGAAATAGATTATGATATCTAAGGAGATGGAGAAAACACCTGTCTCCGGATTACATCTTCAAAATAAGGGCAACCATGGCATCCGTGACAGGGAGAGGCGTCCATCCATGATGTTTACGGGTAAGATAGTTAGCTAGCTATATTTTCAGATATTACACGTTTCTAATTTTGACAGAAAGTCGTTTTCATTTCAAGTTAGTGTACTGTTAGCTAGCTAGCTAACGTTAGCTGGCTGGCTCGCTAGCTAACAATACGTGTATGATCTTATTATTCATATCTCAGAGCAATTTGCTTTGCTAGTTATAGCCTAATGTTAGCTAGCTAACATTGAACCTGGTTGGTTAGCTACCTGTAAATTAATGCAGGTAGTAACGTCATGAGTTGGGATTATGGTTAATTGTTTACCTAGCTAGCTAGCTACATGTCTTAACAAAAGATTCCATTATGCAAGTAACCATTTCAATAGAATGTCACTGCGACAACAGTTGATAGACGTGGCTGGTAAATTTGCTCTGGCTATCTACTCCGATTTCAGAGCACTCTCATCTGAGTGTGCCAGAGCGCAGAATAACTGACGAATTTACGAACGCTCAACACCCGTTGAATATGTCAGTAAACGTTGGCAAAAAAACGTAAATTGTTTGGCAGCAGCACATTTGCAGTCACCAACGCTCTGGATAGCATAAAAACAGCCTAACCAACTCTGCTAGGGCGAGTAAAATGGTCAGAGTGGGGTGTTCTCTCATTTGTGTCTGGAAGTAGCTACCAAGCTAGCCAACGTTAACCAGTTAGCGTGGGTGCTTGACTGTTGTTGTTAGGATAGAACGCTCGGATCAACCCTTAAAGAGATTGGTGGGGCTAAAGCTTAAAAGGGTGTGAACGATGCTGAGTGGGTTTAGTTAAATCTAGAATCGGCTTCCTATTTCGCAACAAAGCCTCCTTCACTCATGCTGCCAAACATGCCCTCGTAAAACTGACTATCCTACCGATCCTTGACTTCGGCGATGTCATTTACAAAATAGCCTCCAACACTCTACTCAGCAAATTGGATATAGTCTATCACAGTGCCATCCGTTTTGTCACCAAAGCCCCATATACTACACACCATTGTGACCTGTACACTCTCGTTGGCTGGGCCTCACTACATATTAGTCGCCAAACCCACTGGCTCCAGGTCATCTATAAATCCCTTCTAGGCAAATCCCCGCCTTATCTTAGCTCATTGGTCACCATAGCAACACCCACCCATAGTCTGCGCTCCAGCAGGTATATCTTACTGGTCATCCCCAAAGCCAACACCTCCTTTGGCCGGCATTCCATCTAGTTCTCTGCTGCCAATGACTGGAACGAATTGCAAAAATCTCTGAAGCTGGAGACTCTTTATCTCCCTCACTAACTTTAAGCATCAGTTGTCAGAGCAGCTTACCGATCACTGCATCTGTACACAACCCATCTGTAATTAGCCCACCCAACTACCTCATCCCCCATATTGTTATTTATTTTGCTAATTTGCACCCAAGTATCTCTTTTTGCAAATCATCTTCTGCACATCTATCATCATTATTGCCTTACCTCCATAACTTACTACATTTGCATACACTGTATATAGATGTTCTATTGTGTTATTGACTGTATGTTTTATTTTACCCCATATGTAACTCTGTGTTGTTGTTGTTTTTATCGCACTGCTTTGCTTTATCTTGTCAAGGTCGCAGTTGTAAATGATAACTTTTTCTCAGCTGGCTTACCTGGTTAAATAAAGGTGAAATAAAAATAAATAAAAGACAAACACAAAGAAAAGCTGTCCAGTAGGTACCAAAACATTCAAAGGCCATTTTCTCGAAAGTGAGGTTACAAGTTTATCAACTTTCAAATCAGAATTACTTTCCCATTGTTCCTCAAATGCAGTGTATGATATAAAAAAAAATCGCTCTGTGTCTCTGCTTTTATCCATTGTAAAAAACACAATTTCAAATTTTGCTACATAAGACCGAATCAAGGCGGTCGGTCCCTATTGCCCCTGGTTGATGTGTCAACAACTATCTGCAAATTATGAGCAGTCAGCAGTTCACACACCCAAGTAGGCCACTGGGAAGACAGGCAGAACTTAAAGTAGATGGCCTTAGCTAGCAAAAAGACAGTACTAGAACACAACAGATAAAGACAAAAAAATTATACTTATCACTCCTGGAGATATCAGGAGTCTTCTAGCTATAGATTGAAGCACACACAATAACCCCACTGGCATGCGGTGGACAACTTTTGCTTGGGTCTAACATCATTACATAATTTCCCTGAATTCAAATGATGTCCTTGGAATTCATTCCATTCTCTATCACATTTCTGACCTTTCCTCCCAGTTGAAACCATCCGAATGAGTACAGAGAATGGAAGTGGCAGCGTTTGATACAGTACCCCTTTGGATATTGGTGTGTGTGTCTTTTATGGGTGTGCGTGTTTGTTACTGTATGTCTGCGTTATGTTGTCCGTATGTGTGTTCCCATGTGCATACACCAACAGGCATCTCTCTTCCTTTAGGATTCCCTAGTGGAGGTGGAGGAGAAGTACCGCAAGGCCATGGTGTCCAATGCCCAGCTGGACAATGAGAAGAACAACCTGATGTACCAGGTGGATACGCTGAAGGACTCGCTCATGGAGCTGGAAGAGCTGCTGTCCGAATCACGCCGCGAGTATGAGGGGAAGACCAAGGTATGGGAGAGATTAGGAGGAGGGAAAGCTGGAGAGATGGAGGCAGAGAAAGGATAGGGCCAGATTAAGAGAAATATACAATTACAGTAAGATAAAAGATGAGGGGGAAAAGAGGCCAAATTAGTAGAGAAAGGGGTAGGCTATAGAGGAGGGCGATATTAGGTGAAAACTGGGATTGACGTTAGCCAAGTGGTGCCTTTTGGAAACTATAGTTGGCTGAAAAGACAAAAAAAAAAAAAAAAAAAAAAAGAATAATATATAATTTTTTTTATTGAAAATGAAAAAAAAGAAAAAAAAATGAAAAATATACTCTGAAAATTAAGAATTAAAAATTAGAAAAAAATAATTTGAAGTGGTTGTCCTACTGGCTATCATAAGATGAATGCACCAATTTGTAAGTCGCTCTGGATAAGAGCGTCTGCTAAATGACGTAAATGTACTAATGCAATAATGGAGGATTATATACATGAACTGTATAGACATAATTTCCAGGTTTTTTTCTGGATCAAAAAGGGGCTTAGGGGGTGGACGTGGCAGGGGGTGTGGCAATGGGTATGGTCAGCGTAGCTGGAGTTTAAAGAACATTTTAGAGGCCCCCATCTTGGCGGTGTAGAGAAATTTTGCAGTTTTGAATGTCCAATGCAGTAAGGTGCTTAATTGTTACCTAGGCCTTCATGGTCCTGGGTAACAATTAAGTACCTTACTGTGATTTTTTTCAATTAAGATGGTCAAAAATAAACAAAAATAGCTTCTTAGCAAAGAGCAATTTCTCAAGCAATAATTTTGCTAGGACTGTCTGGGAGTGGTTTGCGTGGGGAGGGGAAAACTGAAAAATAGCTGTTATTGGCATTTGGCATAGAGGTTTGGAACTCTATTTCTTATATTTATTTAATTTGCTGCATGTTGATGTCATCATGGAAGGCCAAAACTTCCTCCCACTAAAACAGGCTGAAATTTCAGGTGGTCTATTCAAACAGCTCTTACACTAAAAGGGCATCATTTTTAACAGTATTATTCCAACCACATAGTGTGGAAATATACATAAAACACAGGAAAATCTTGTTTTTGACTGCATTGGAGCTTTAAAGCAAATTGTATGTGATTCTATATATTCTGCCATGCCTTTGTTAATTTTCTCAAACATAATAACAAAATCAATAATGCTTATTTCGTAGTCTTTGTCATTTTCAATTCTCCCTGACTGTCTAGCCTTTATTTTGGTGATTGTTAGTTCTCAAAGATTATATTATTTAAGATTACTAGCGGCACCCTGTCCATATGGACAGTAAAAATTAATTATTACATTTAATGCAAATTAAAAATGTGTTTATCTGTTCAGCTATTTGGTCTCTGGATATACCAATATTCTCAGCTCCGGAGCATTTAAAAAAAAAACACCCATAGGCCAACTATTCACTATTATTCTACAATATAGTAAAAGTTTAAATAACCTGGAATGAGTAGGTGTTTCCAAACTTTTGCCTGAAGGTGTATATTTAAAGAGGAAAAAAACAGTAGAGGAGGGCTACAGACATAGATTTTGTTAAAGAAAAAAGTTGTAATTTAATTTAACATGTCCAAGCAAGAATGCATGATAAAGATATGTTGATGTACAATACCTAAACCAGTGGGTTTGACAATTAGGCTATTGTTGCTATAATTTTACTGTTGAATTATGGCTCCAGAATTGCAGATGGATTTTGTTCAATAGAGATTAATTTGCTTACATCTTTGTGTTTACAAATAGGCTATCACATAAGCTAATTCACTTGTGGCTAATCACTGAAGAAAGGGAAACCAAAACCACAACTGACCAAATCATGAAAAATAAAACACTCATATCTTGATTAGATAAGTATTCAACCCCCTGAGTCAATACATGTTAAAATGTATTTGGCAGCAATTACAGCTGTGAGTCTTTCAGGGTTAGTCTCTAAGAGCTTTGTATTAGCCCATTATTCTTTTCATAATTTTTCAAGCTCTGTCAAGTTGGTTGTTGATCATTGCTAGACAGCCATTTTCAAGTCTTGCCATAGATTTTCAAGTGGATTTAAGTAAAAACCGGAACTAGGCCACACCGGAGCATTCAATGTCGTCTTGGCAGTGACGATTTTAGCATGTACAGTGAGGGAAAAAACTATTTGATCCCCTGCTGATTTTGTACGTTTGCCCACTGACAAAGACATGATCAGTCTATAATTTTAATGGTAGGTTTATTTGAACAGTGAGAGACAGAATAACAGCAACAAAAATCCAGAAAAACGCATGTCAAAAATGTTATAAATTGATTTGCATTTTACTGAGGGAAATAAGTATTTGACCCCTCTGCAAAATATGACTTAGTACTTGGTGGCAAAACCCTTGTTGGCAATCACGGAGGTCAGACATTTCTTGTAGTTGGCCACCAGGTTTGCACACATCTCAGGAGGGATTTTGTCCCACTCCTCTTTGCAGATCTTCTCCAAGTCATTAAGGTTTCGAGGCTGACGTTTGTCTACTCGAACCTTCAGCTCCCTCCACAGATTTTCTATGGGATTAAGGTCTGAAGACTGGCTAGGCCACTCCAGGACCTTAATGTGCTTCTTCTTGAGCCACTCCTTTGTTGCCTTGGCCGTGTGTTTTGGGTCATTGTCATGCTGGAATACCCATCCACGACCCATTTTCAATGCCCTGGCTGAGGGAAGGAGGTTCTCACCCAAGATTTGACGGTACATGGCCCCGTCCATTGTCCCTTTGATGCGGTGAAGTTGTCCTGTCCCCTTAGCAGAAAAACACCCCCAAAGCATAATGTTTCCACCTCCATGTTTGACGGTGGGGATGGTGTTCTTGGGGTCATAGGCAGCATTCCTCCTCCTCCAAACACGGCGAGTTGAGTTGATGCCAAAGAGCTGGATTTTTTTCTCATTTGACCACAACTCTTTCACCCAGTTCTCCTCTAAATCATTCAGATGTTTATTGGCAAACTTCAGACCGGCCTGTATATGTGCTTTCTTGAGCAGGGGGACCTTGCGGGCGCTGCAGGATTTCAGTCCTTCACGGCGTAGTGTGTTACCAATTATTTTCTTGGTGACTACTGTCCCAGCTGCCTTGAGATCATTGACAATATCCTCCTGTGTAGTTCTGGGCTGATTCCTCACCGTTCTCATGATCATTCACTCCACGAGGTGAGATCTTGCATGGAGCCCCAGGCCGAGGGAGATTGATAGTTATTTTGTGTTTCTTCCATTTGCGAATAATCGCACCAACTGTTGTCACCTTCTCACCAAGCTGCTTGGCAATGGTCTTGTAGCCCATTCCAGCCTTGTGTAGGTGTGAGGTCTACAATCTTGTCCCTGACATCCTTGGAGAGCTCTTTGGTCTTGGCCATGGTCGAGAGTTTGGAATCTGATTGATTGATTGCTTCTGAGGCAGGTGTCTTTTATACAGGTAACAAGCTGAGATTAGGAGCACTCCCTTTAAGAGTGTGCTCCTAATCTCAGCTCGTTATCTGTATAAAAGACACCTGGGAGCCAGAAATATTTTTGATTGAGAGGGGGTCAAATACTTATTTCCCTCATTAAAATGCAAATCAATTTATAACATTTTTGACATGTGTTTTTCTGGATTTTTGTTGTTGTTATTCTGTCTCTCACTGTTCAAATAAACCTACCATTAAAATTATAGACTGATCCTTTATTTGTCAGTGGGCAAACGTACAAAATCAGCAGGGGATCAAATACTTTTTTCCCTCACTGTACATCTTGGTGGGGCAAAAAAATAAATAATTGGATGCATGCCAGCAAAGCCACTACACAACACTAAACAATACATTAATTGCACTATAATGGTGACAAACGGTGCCCACAAACTGTTAGGGCCTACATAAAGCTGTCCCAACAGCAGTCCCAACATCTTACCACTGCTACACCTGGCTATCAGTGGAGCCTTGTCTGGCAGCGAAACAGTTCATTCAGCCTCATTTACTGCTTGAAAAAAAAAACAGACAGTTGAAGTCAGAAGTTTACATACACCTTAGCCAAATACATTTCAACTCAGTTTTTCACAATTTCTGACATTTAATCCTAGTAAAAATTCCCTGTCTTAGGTCAGTTTATTTTAAGAATGTGAAATGTCAGAATAATTATAGAGAGAATGATTTATTTCAGCTTTTATTTCTTTCATCACATTCCCAGTGGGTCAGAAGTTTACATACACTCAATTAGTATTCCTCCTGAAAGAACTGGTGTAACTGAGTCAGGTTTGTAGGCCTCCTTGCACGCACACGCTTTTTCAGTTCTGCCCACAAATTTTCTATAGGATTGAGGTCAGGGCTTTGTGATGGCCACTCCAATACCTTGACTTTGGAAGTATGCTTGGTGTCATTGTCCATTTGCGACCAAGCTTTAACTTCCTGACTGATGTTGCTTCAATATATCCACATAATTTTCCTTCCTCATGATGCCATCTATTTTGTGAAGTGCACCAGACCCTCCTGCAGCAAAGCACCCCCACAGCATGATGCTGCCACCCCCGTGCTTCACGGTTGGGATGGTGTTCTTCGGCTTGCAAGCTACCCCTTTTTTCCTCCAAACATAACGATGGTCATTATGGCCAAACAGTTCTATTTTTGTTTCATCAGACCAGAGGACATTTCTCCAAAAAGTACGATCTTTGTCCCCATTTTCAGTTGCAAACCGTAGTCTGGCTTTTTTATGGCGGTTTTGGAGCAGTGGCTTCTTCCTTGCTGAGCGGCCTTTCAGGACTCGTTTTACTGTGGATATAGATACATTTGTACCTGTTTCCTCCAGCATCTTCACAAGGTCCTTTGCTGTTTTTCTGGGATTGATTTGCACTTTTTGCACCAATGTACGTTCATCTCTAGGAGACAGAACGCGTCTCCTTCCTTGTACAGATGAACGTGGTACCTTCAGGCGTTTGGAAATTGCTCCCAAGGATGAACCAGACGTGTGGAGGTCTACAAAATTTCTAATGAGGTCTTTTGATTTTCCCATGATGTCAAGCAAAGAGGCACTGAGTTTGAAGGTAGGCCTTGAAATACATCCACAGGTACACCTCCAATTGACTCAAATGATGTCAATTAGCCTATCAGAAGCTTCTAAATCCATGACATAATTTTCTGGAATTTTCCAAGCTGTTTAAAGGCACAGTCAATTTAGTGTATGTAAACTTCTGACCCACTGGAATTGTGATACAGTGAATTAAAAGTGAAATAATCTGTCTGTAACAATTATTGGAAACAGTACTTGTGTCATGCACAAAGTAGATGTCCTAACCGACTTGCCAAAACTATAGTTTGTTAACAAGAAATGTGTGGAGTGGTTGAAAAACGAGTTTTAATGACTCCAATAGCAGGCTAGTGATTGCTTTGCAATGCTTGCAGTTAGCCACTGCCACTGATACCTTCCAAACCACTCATTGTTGAATTTGCGATTTCCAACTTGTTGTGTAATGTTTATGTCCAATGAGCACCGATACATTTTATCTATAATTTCTCTTCATTATTTCTATTCATATGACAAGGATTAAAAAGGATTTGCCAGTAGATTGTCGACTTGATTCATGATGATGACTGCTAGCTAAGATTTTGAAAGTATGATGTTGACATGATCCGTCCAATCAAAGCTACTGTAGATGTAACGTGATTTGACGTCATTTTATCTGTGGCCAATGACCTTGTGCCTTCTTGGATGGGCACTTCTAATGTAACTCGATGGCAGCACCCAAGGAGCTTGAATTTTCGAGGTCTACCCTTAGACTTGGCGGTGACGTACTGTCCCCACGAGTGACAGAACACTGAGCTAATCATGGCGCAACTAGAGAACATTACCAACACCTACGCTCCGTATTTTCCGCTGGCTGCCCCACCACTACAGAAAGCACTGAGCTAGGCTGAAACACCTGCATTTTGGAGCTGCCTTACTCAAGAAAGCAAAAAAGAGACCATGTTTGTATGCGCCTTTATTAACTCAATGATTTTTAACATTTTTTGCAAACTGGTATCTGACACGTATTAATGCCAAAATAACATGCAAAAAAGGTAAGCCCCCCCTCCCTAAAGTGTGGGGTTCAAAACAGGTGGGGCTCTGCTCCACCTGCCCTGAATGACGGGTTGCCACTGTGTCTTAAGCAACTCCCGTGTATATTTGGCCATGTGTTTTAGGTTATTGTCCTGCTGGAAGGTGAATTTGTCTCCCAGTTGAAAAGCAGACGGAACTAGGTTTTCCTCTAGGATGTTGCCTGTGCTTAGCTCTACTCCGTTCTTTTTATCCTAAAAAACTCCCTAGTCCTTCCGATGACAAGCATACCCATAACATGATGCAGCCACCACAATGCTTGAAAATATGAAGAGTGGTACTCAGTGATGTGTGTTGGATTTTCCCCAAACATAAGGCTTTGTATTCAGGACATGAAGTCAGTTTCTTTGCCAAATTTCTTTGCAGTTTTACTTTAGTGCCTTATTGCAAACAGGATGCCTGTTTTGGAATATTTTTTATTCTGTACAGGCTTCCTTCTTTTCACTCTGTCAGTTAGGTTAGTATTGTGGAGTAACTACAATGTTGTTGATCTATCCTCAGTTTTCTATCACAGCCATTAAACTCTGTAACTGTTTTAATAGCACCATTGGCCTCATGGTGAAATCCCTGAGCGGTTTCCTTCCTCTCCGACAGCTGAGTTAGGAAGGACGCCTTTATCTTTGTAGTGACTGGGTGTATTGATACACCATCCAAAAGTGTAATTAATAACTTCACCATGCTCAAAGGGATATTCAATGTCTGCTCTTTTTTTTACCCATCTGCAAGTAGGTGAGTGCCCTTCTTTGCGAGGCATTCTCTCTTTATGTAGTGGTTTGTTGTCTCTGTTGTTGTGATGTGTGTTTGGGCCTATATATATATATATATATATATATATATATATCATTTATTTATTATAATTTTTTTGTCCCCGCAGGAGGCCTTTTGCCTTTTGGTAGGCCATCATTGTAAATAAGAATTTGCTCATCAACAAGAAGAAGCACATTAAGGTCCTGGAGTGGCCTAGCCATTCTCCAGACCTTATTCCCATAGAAACGCATCTGAGTAGGTTTCTATTGTGCAAGACTCAGCCGGTACTCTACACAGACCGGTGTGACATAACCAATCAGAGCTGCAGTAGACCTGTATGCAAATCGACATTGCCATATCTGGATCTGTACCATTTACTTTGAACCAGACTTTGTTTACAGCTGTGGTCTTGAGTAGATGTGCTTGTTTTGAGATCAAAGCAAGAGCTGCATTTTGCCATGTGTGCACATTTGTTCATATCCTTTGCTAGTTAGTGAGTTATTAGCCCAGTTATATATCATTTGTAGTCAGCAATAGGGTAGTGATTGTTTCCTACAAGAGCACAAAACTTGTAAACAGGTTAATGTCAAGCCCTGCATGTTTTTTTCAAAAGTCTCATGGAATGTAGGCCTACATTGAACACCACACATTGGCTGCTACTGTAGGCTGAATGATAGAACAGCTAGAAATGCCAAGAGTGTGCAAAGCTGTCATCAAGGCAAAGGGTGGAAACTTTGAAGAATCTCAAATATTAAATATATTTTGATTTAACACTTATGGTTACTAAATGATTTCATATGTGTTATTTCATAGTTTTGATAGCTTCACTATTATTCTACAATGTAGAAAATAGGACAAATAAAGAAAAACCCTGGAATGAGTAGGTGTGTCCAAACCTTTGACTGGTACTGTATATATATACACATGTCAAAAATGTTATAAATTGATTTGCATTTTAATGAGGGGAATAAGTATTTGACCCCCTCTCAATCAGAAAGATTTCTGGCTCCCAGGTGTCTATTATACAGGTAACGAGCTGAGATTAGGAGCACACTCTTACAGGGAGTGCTCCTAATCTCAGTTTGTTACCTGTATAAAAGACACCTGTCCACAGAAGCAATCAATCAATCAGATTGTAGACCTACACAAGGCTGGAATGGGCTACAAGACCATCGTCAAGCAGCTTGGTGAGAAGGTGACAACAGTTGGTGCGATTATTCGCAAATGGAAGAAACACAAAAGAACTGTCAATCTCCCTCGGCCTGGGGCTCCATGCAAAATCTCACCTCGTGGAGTTGCAATGATCATGAGAACGGTGAGGAATCAGCCCAGAACTACACGGGAGGATCTTGTCAATGATCTCAAGGCAGCTGGGACCATAGTCACCAAGAAAACAATTGGTAACACACTACGCCGTGAAGGACTGAAATCCTGCAGCGCCCGCAAGGTCCCCCTGCTCAAGAAAGCACATATACATGCCCGTCTGAAGTTTGCCAATGAACATCTGAATGATTCAGAGGAGAACTGGGTGAAAATGTTGTGGTCAGATGAGACCAAAATCGAGCTCTTTGGCATCAACTCAACTCGCTGTGTTTGGAGGAGGAGGAATGCTGCCTATGACCCCAAGAACACCATCCCCACCGTCAAACATAGAGGTGGAAAAATTATGCTTTGGGGGTGTTTTTCTGCTAAGGGGACAGGACAACTTCACCACATCAAAGGGACGATGGACGGGGCCATGTACCGTCAAATCTTGGGTGAGAACCTCCTTCCCTCAACCAGGGCATTGAAAATGGGTCGTGGATGGGTATTCCAGCATGACAATGACCCAAAACACACGGCCAAGGCAACAAAGGAGTGGCTTAAGAAGAAGCACATTAAGGTCCTGGAGTGGCCTAGCCAGTCTCCAGACCTTAATCCCATAGAAAATCTGTGGAGGGAGCTGAAGGTTCGAGTTGCCAAACGTCAGCCTCGAAACCTTAATGACTTGGAGAAGATCTGCAAAGAGGAGTGGGACAAAATCCCTCCTGAGATGTGTGCAAACCTGGTGGCCAACTACAAGAAACGTCTGACCTCTGCGATTGCCAACAAGGGTTTTGCCACCAAGTACTAAGTCATGTTTTGCAGAGGGGTCAAATACTTATTTCCCTAATTAAAATGCAAATCAATTTATAACATTTTTGACATGCGTTTTTCTGGATTTTTGTTGTTGTTATTCTGTCTCTCACTGTTCAATTAAACCAACCATTAAAATGATAGACTGATCATTTCTTTGTCAGTGGGCAAACGTACAAAATCAGCAGGGGATCAAATACTTTTTTTCCCTCACTGTGTGTGTATGTATGTATGTATGTATGTATATATATATATATATATATATATATGCCAGTACTGGCTGGATGTCCTTTGGATGGTGGACCATTCTAGATACACACCAGAAACCGTTTTGTGTGTGTGTATATATATATATACACACACACATACAACGGTTTCTGGTGTGTATCTAGAACCGTTGTATGTGTGTATGTATGTATATACAGTGGGGAGAACAAGTATTTGATACACTGCCGATTTTGCAGGTTTTCCTACTTACAAAGCATGTAGAGGTCTGTAATTTTTATCATAGGTACACTTCAACTCTGGGAGACGGAATCTAAAACAAAAATCCAGAAAATCACATTGTATGATTTTTTTAAGTAATTAATTTGCATTTTATTGCATGACATAAGTATTTGATACATCAGAAAAGCAGAACTTAATATTTGGTACAGAAACCTTTGTTTGCAATTACAGTGATCATGCGTTTCCTGTAGGTCTTGACCAGGTTTGCACACACTGCAGCAGGGATTTTGGCCCACTCCTCCATACAGACCTTCTCCAGATCGCTGGGCAATACGGACTTTCAGCTCCCTCCAAAGATTTTCTATTGGGTTCAGGTCTGGAGACTGGCTAGGCCACTCCAGGACCTTGAGGTGCTTCTTACGGAGCCACTCCTTAGTTGCCCTGGCTGTGTGTTTCGGGTCGTTGTCATGCTGGAAGACCCAGCCACGACCCATCTTCAATGCTCTTACTGAGGGAAGGAGGTTGTTCGCCAAGATCTCGCGATACATGGCCCCATCCATCCTCCCCTCAATACGGTGCAGTCGTCCTGTCCCCTTTGCAGAAAAGCATCCCCAAAGAATGATGTTTCCACCTCCATGCTTCACGGTTGGGATGGTGTTCTTGGGGTTGTACTCATCCTTCTTCTTCCTCCAAACACGGAAAGTGGAGTTTAGACCAAAAAGCTCAATTTTTGTCTCATCAGACCACAGGACCTTCTCCCATTCCTCCTCTGGATCATCCAGATGGTCATTGGCAAACTTCAGACGGGCCTGGACATGCGCTGGCTTGAGCAGGGGGACCTTACGTGCGCTGCAGGATTTTAATCCATGACGGCGTAGTGTGTTACTAATGGTTTTCTTTTAGACTGTGGTCCCAGCTCTCTTCAGGTCATTGACCAGGTCCTGCCGTGTAGTTCTGGGCTGATCCCTCACCTTCCTCATGATCATTGATGCCCCACGAGGTGAGATCTTGCATGGAGCCCCAGACCGAGGGTGATTGACCGTCATCTTGAACTTCTTCCATTTTCTAATAATTGCGCCAACAGTTGTTGCCTTCTCACCAAGCTGTTTTGCCTATTGTCCTGTAGCCCATCCCAGCCTTGTGCAGATCTACAATTTTATCCCTGATGTCCTTACACAGCTCTCTGGTCTTGGCCATTGTGGAGAGGTTGGAGTCTGTTTGATTGAGTGTGTGGACAGGTGTCTTTTTATACAGGTAACGAGTTGAAACAGGTGCAGTTAATAAAGGTAATGAGTGGAGAACAGGAGGGCTTCTTAAAGAAAATGTAACAGGTCTGTGAGAACCAGAATTCTTACTGGTTGGTAGGTGATCAAATACTTATGTCATGCAATAAAAATGCAAATTAATTACTTAAAAATCATACAATGTGATTTTCTGGATTTTTGTTTTAGATTTCGTCTCTCACAGTTGAAGTGTACCTATGATAAAAATTACAGACCTCTACATGCTTTGTAAGTAGGAAAACCTGCAAAATCGGCAGTGTATCAAATACTTGTTCTCCCCACTATATATATATATATATATATATACAGACAGTGGGGTAAAAAAGTATTTAGTCAGCCACCAATTGTGCAAGTTCTCCCACTTAAAAAGATGAGAGAGGCCTGTAATTGAGACAAAATGATTAAAAAAAAATCTCCAGAAAATCACATTGTAGGATTTTTTATGAATTTATTTGCAAATTATGTTGGAAAATAAGTATTTGGTCAATAACAAAAGTTTCTCAATACTTTGTTATATACCCTTTGTTGGCAATGACACAGGTCAAATGTTTTCTGTAAGTCTTCACAAGGTTTTCACACACTGTTGCTGGTATTTTGGCCCATTCCTCCATGCAGATCTCCTCTAGAGCAGTGATGTTTTGGGGCTGTCTCTGGGCAACACGGACTTTCAACTCCCTCCAAAGATTTTCTATGGGGTTGAGATCTGGAGACTGGCTAGGCCACTTCAGGACCTTGAAATGCTTCTTACGAAGCCACTCCTTCGTTTCCCGGGCGGTGTGTTTGGGATCATTGTCATGCTGAAAGACCCAGCCACGTTTCATCTTCAATGCCCTTGCTGATGGAAGGAGGTTTTCACTCAAAATCTCACGATACATGGCCCCATTCATTCTTTCCTTTACACGGATCAGTCGTCCTGGTCCCTTTGCAGAAAAACAGCCCCAAAGCATGATATTTCCACCCCCATGCTTCACAGTAGGTATGGTGCTCTTTGGATGCAACTCAGCATTCTTTGTCCTCCAAACACGACGAGTTGACTTTTTACCAAAAAGTTCTATTTTGGTTTTATCTGACCATATGACATTCTCCCAATCCTCTTCTGGATCATCCAAATGCACTCTAGCAAACTTCAGACGGGCCTGGACATGTACTGGCTTAAGCAGGGGGACACGTCTGGCACTGCAGGATTTGAGTCCCTGGTGGCGTAGTGTGTTACTGATGGTAGGCTTTGTTACATTGGTCCCAGCTCTCTGCAGGTCATTCACTAGGTCCCGCCGTATGGTTCTGGGATTTTTGCTCACCGTTCTTGTGATCATTTTGACCCCACGGGGTGAGATCTTGCGTGGAGCCCCAGATCGAGGGAGATTATCAGTGGTCTTGTATGTCTTCCATTTCCTAATAATTGCTCCCACAGTTGATTTCTTCAAACCAAGCTGCTTACCTATTGCAGATTCAGTCTTCCCAGCCTGGTGCAGGTCTACAATTTTGTTTCTGGTGTCCTTTGACAGTTCTTTGGTCTTGGCCATAGTGGAGTTTGGAGTGTGACTGAGGTTGTGGACAGGTGTCTTTTATACTGATAACAAGTTCAAACAGGTGCCATTAATACAGGTAACGAGTGGAGGACAGAGGAGCCTCTTAAAGAAGAAGTTACAGGTCTGTGAGAGCCATAAATCTTGCTTGTTTGTAGGTGACCAAATACTTATTTTCCACCATAATTTGCAAATAAATTCATTAAAAATCCTACAATGTGATTTTCTGGGAAAAAAATTCTCAATTTGTCTGTCATAGTTGACGTGTACCTATGATGAAAATTACAGGCCTCTCTCATCTTTTTAAGTGGGAGAACTTGCACAATTGGTGGCTGACTAAATACTTTTTTCCCCCACTGTATGCAGTACCAGTCAAAGGTTTGGACACACCTACTCATTCCAGGGTTTTTCTTTATTTTTATTTTTACTATTTTCTACATTGGAGAATAATAGTGAAGACATCAAAACTATAGTAACCAAAAAAGTGTTAAATCAAAATATGAGGGAAAAAACGATTTAATCCATTTCATGCCAAGCGTCGGTTGGAGTGGTGTAAAGCTCGCCGCGATTGGACTCTGGAGCAGTGGAAACGTGTTCTCTGGAGTGATAAATCACACTTCGCCATCTGGCAGTCCGACGGACTAATCTGGGTTTGGCGGATGCCAGGAAAACGCTACCTGCCCGAATGCATAGTGCCAACTGCAAAGTTTGGTGGAAGAGGACTAATGGTCTGGGGCTGTTTTTCATGGTTCCAGCTAGGCCCCTTAATTCCAGTGAAGGGAAATCTTAACGCTACAGCATACAATGACATTGTAGACGATTCTGTGCTTCCAACTTTGTGGCAACAGTTTGAGGAAGGCCCTTTCCTGTTTCAGCATGACAATGCCCCTGTGCACAAAGCGAGGTCCATAGAGAAATGGTTTGTTGATATCGGTATGGAAGAACTTGACTGGCCTGCACAGAGCCCTGACCTAAACCCCATCGAACACCTTTGGGATGAATTGGAACCCCGACTGCGAGCCAGGCCTAATCCCCCAACATCAGTGCCTGACCTCACTAATGCTCTTGTGGCTGAATGGAAGCCAGTCCCCGCAGCAATGTTCCAACATCTAGTGGAAAGCCTTCCCAAAGAGTGGACGCTGTTGTAGCAGCAAAGCATCTGTAGTAAGCCCTTTTGTGGGGAAAGACTCATTCTGATTGGCTGGACCTGGCTCCCCAGTGGGTCGGCATGGCTCCCAAGTGGGTGGGTCTATGCCCTCCCAGGCCCACCCATCTCTGCGCCCCTGCCCAGTCATGGGAAATCCATAGATAAGGGCCTAATTATAATTGACTGATTTCCTTATATGAACTGTAACTCAGCAAAATCTTAGAAATTGTTGCATGTTGTGTTTTTATTTTTGTTCAGTATATATTACGGTGTATGGATTTAGGCGATTTGGATTGGATTTCATTGGCCGACAAATCCCTGAATCCCTAAATTCATAGTGTACATCAACCTTTATCCAAATTGATTTCATCCACAACTAATGTAGCTATGGCAACTTCCTGGATTATAAGGCAGCTGTTTAGGGCCAAAATGATCACTGCATATTGTTAATCCATTCAAACATCTCCTCTGTTATCTCTCCCAGGACTTTGAGCGTGAGAAACATGCCCACGGTGTGCTCCAGTTCCAATTCAACGTGATGAAAGAAAAGCTAAAACAGAGCGAGGAGTTATTAACGGTGAGTCCTCCAAGGCATCCTCGAAAGGAAAACCCCAAGCTTGTCAGGACAGCCAAAACGACCTTAACTGCCACCTTTCAGTTTTCTTATTTCTGAACTTCCCTGTCTCCTCACTTGCATGCTGATCTTCTACTGTTTTCACTCCTCTCACACACTCTCTCCCTCTCTCCTATTTGTTCCATCATCTTCTGCTTTTCTGCTGTCCAGGAGATCCATCAGTTGCGTCTCAAGCAGGACAACTTTGTTAGGGAAATATCTGACCTGCAGGAAACAGTAGAGTGGAAAGATAAAAAGATTGGGGTATGCCCTGTGAACTCTGACCCATTCGCTTTGTTAGTACATTTGAAGTCGGAAGTTTACATACACCTTAGCCAAATACATTTAAACTCAGTTTTTCACAATTCCTGACATTTAATCCTAGTAAAAATTCCCTGTTTTAGGTCAGTTAGGATTACCACTTTATTTTAAGAATGTGAAATGTCAGAATAATAGTAGAGAGCTTGATTTATTTCAGCATTCACATTCCCAGTGGGTCAGAAGTTTACATACACTCAATTAGTATTTGGAAGCATAGCCTTTAAATTGTTTAACTTGGGTCAAACGTTTCGGGTAGCCTTCCACAAGCTTCCCACAATAAATTGGGTGAATTTTGGCCCATTCCTCCTGACAGAGCTGGTGTAACTGAGTCAGGTTTGTAGGCCTCCTTGCTCGCACATGCTTTTTCAGTTCTGCCCACAAATGTTCTATAGGATTGAGGTCAGGGCTTTGTGATGGCCACTCCAATACCTTGACTTTGTTGTCCTTAAGCCATTTTGCCACAACTTTTGAAGTATGCTTGGGGTAATGGTCCATTTGGAAGACCCATTTGCGACCAAGCTTTAACTTCCTGACTGATGTCTTGAGATGTTGCTTCAATATATCCACATAATTTTCCTTCCTCATGATGCCATCTATTTTGTGAAGTGCACCAGTCCCTCCTGCAGCAAAGCACCCCCACAGCATGATGCTGCCACCCCCGTGCTTCACGGATGGGATGGTGTTCTTCAGCTTCTCTTCCAAACATAACGATGGTCATTATGGCCAAACATTTCTATTTTTGTTTCATCAGACCAGAGGAAATTTCTCCAAAAAGTACGATCTTTGTCCCCATGTGCAGTTGCAAACCGTAGTCTGGCTTTTTTATGGCGGTTTTGGAGCAGTGGCTTCTTCCTTGCTGAGTGGCCTTTCAGGTTATGTAGATATAGGACTCGTTTTACTGTGGATATAGATACTTTTGTACCTGTTTCCTCCAGCATCTTCACAAGGTCCTTTGCTGTTGTTCTGCGATTGATTTGCACTTTTCGCACCAAAGTACGTTCATCTCTAGGAGACAGAACGCGTCTCCTTCCTGAGTGGTATGACGGCTGTGTGGTCCCTTGGTGTTTATACTTGCGTACTATTGTTTGTACAGATGAACGTGGTACCTTCAGGCATTTGGAAATTGCTCCCAAGGATGAACCAGACTTGTGGAGGTCTACCATTATTATTTATTTTTTCTGAGGTCTTGGCTGATCTCTTTTGATTTTCCCATGATGTCAAGCAAAGAGGCACTGATTTTGAAGGTAGTCCTTGAAATACATCCACAGGTACATCTCCAATTGACTCAAATGATGTCAATTAGCCTATCAGATGCTTCTAAAGCCATGACATCATTTTCTGGAATTTTCCAAGCTGTTTAAAGGCACAGTCAACTTAGTGTATGTAAACTTCTGACCCACTGGAATTGTGATACAGTGAATTATAAGTGAAATAATCTGTCTGTAAACAATTATTGGAAAAATTACTTGTGTCATGCACAAAGTAGATGTCTTAACCGACTTGCCAAAACTATAGTTTGTTAACAAGAAATTTGTGGTGTGGTTGAAAAACATAAGTTTTTCAACCAACCTAAGTGTATGTAAACTTTCGACTTTAACTGTACATGTTCACTTTGATAGCATTTGGTGTATGCAAGTGTAAACCCCCACACATAATTGTGATTTGTGGTGTTAAAATACACTTGTTCACTTATGCAGAGAAGTTGATTCTAGCCAAGTGCATGAATACTTGAAACTGTATACTGTACCCTCACTTTCTCTATGCTCACTTTCACTTCCTTCACCCATATCATCCTTCGTTCTTCACCTGCACTTCCTCCTCCCCACCAATGGGGGCACTTCTCAGGCCTTAGAGCGGCAAAAGGAGTATTTGGACGCCATCCGAAATGAACGAGATGAGCTCAGGGATGAGGTGGTCCAGCTGAAAGATATTCTGAAGGTACTTTGTCATCTCAGGGGAGTCAGAGCTCTGAATATGCAACAGTGGCCCCTGAAACAGGGTTTATCTATTGCAGTTATGCAGCTATAATTTACTGTTGTGAGACCCAAAAGCCTGTCATCAGTCTGTGTTCATGTCCTACCCAGAAACATGGAATTGTCCTTGGACCTGACCTGACCACCAATGGGGAAAAGGTGAAGGTGGGAACTGAAAGGTCAACTAGTAGAGATCCAGCTTCTCAATTGGCTCAGGACTCCCAGACGTCACCCACAGAAGGAGGGAACATCATGCTCGGTAAGCACCATTACTGGACAAATATTGCTGTATGTTGTAATCATCTCTTGCTTACCTCATAGCTTTGCCAAATTATAGCTAACTTGAAAACTTAAATCATGCCTAATGCAAACCTGTATACGTAACCTGAGTTTGGTTGACTGACACTGTTTTTGGACTTCTGCAACTAACTTCTAAGCTTTCACTACTGATTCTCCTCCCAACCCATTGCAACCCCTGCACCTGATTCATTTGAACTAATCCATGTATCTGAACCATGATTAAAGCACATGGTGTAAACACCCTTGTTTTGGTGCCATAATGTGTATCCTACATAGTGGTTTCACATTGAGAGGGTCATATGGCTGTCTGATTTGTGGAAATGAGCATGACCTTGTGTTTATATTTTCAATTATAAACTCTCTGCGTCAACCTGATTTAATGTCAATGGTGTTTGAAGTGTTTGCTGTGGTGTTTTACTTGGTTGGTGTTTACACCAGAGCATTACACAAATCAAAATGAATCAATGAATTAGTCCATTAATTGGGTTATTCAATGTAGGGTACATGTATTTGTTGACATGTAAATGCCATGTCAGTGTCTTCATTAAGGTTTTTATCACATATTTTCTTGTAAATGATTAGGAAAAAGGGACATTTTTGGTTGTGTTGAAAGTCACGAACCTGTACATTTCTGGCCAGTCTCAAAGCAATATAACACCACAGCAGACATTTTCAGAGTTTAAGATTTGCAGCTTGCCAAGGTGCCTCTGACCTTCTCATCTGCTTTGACAATTCATCTGGGATCAAGAGCTTTGTTTTTGTGATCTCCTGCTATTCTTCTTCCCTTTCCTCCTTCTCTTCCTTTTAGGTTTGATTTTGGCCAAATTCTTTCAAATTCCGCTTTGCGCTAATTGGTCCAGCTTCAACTGACAGATCTTGATCATCAGAAAAATTACAACACTTGAAACTCCAGGTCACAGTGTTTGGCCTATATCACCCTCATGGTATCCCCTCATGGTCTCCTAGGCAGAGCTCAGGAGATGGAGCTGGGAAGTAGAGGAGATAAGGTGGTGGATCCAGGAAGGTCAAGGCAGCAAGTGGAGACACATGAGGCGGTTCAAGAGAACCATCTGACCTCGCCCACTTCCTGTAGCCTTGCTGGTGTTTCTGAAACCAAAGCATCTATGGAGGCTCTGCCATTCTCGCCCAAATTGGGGGATGAGGTTGAGATTGAAAGCAGTAATGTCAACAAAGACTCTGACAATGGCATACCAGTAGTAGAGGTCAAACGGGGACCGGTCTGTGATTCTGAGGTACTTGGGCTTGTAACAGGTCCTGAGGAAGAGGTTACAGGAGCGGGGGAGGGGTACGAAGCAGCAGGCATAGAGGAGACAGGGCAAGGGAGAGTAGAGGCCACAAACAAATGGGAAATGGGAATAAAAAATGACAAGGTAGATGATATGGAGACCAAAGTCACCAAGAGTAGTGATCACACCAAAGAGACATCCTCAAAAGAGCCTACCTCAGAATATGGTGCAGTAGTTGAACAACGTAATATAGCATTGAGTAAAGAGGTTTTGAAAAGTATAGACTCATGTCCTCAGCCTAGGGAAACCATTGAGGACACCATGAAAAATGGCACACAGATTAGCCAAGGGACTGACCATGATACTAGTAAGAGCCCAATAAAATCAAAAGATAAGTCTCAACCTAAGCCTCAGAAAACGAAAAAAGCTGGAGTGTTACCAGAGACCACTGACATGCAGCCACAGGCCCAAGGAGGCAAGAAGAAGAAGAAAGGCAAGAAGGGAGAGACACAAGGTGATGAAAAACAGGGAGACGATAACAAGAAGAGCAAAACAGAAAAGGATGTGGACTCAATCTTAACAGATAAGGAGCCAGTAGCGGAGCTAGTAGAAGGAGGTATCATAATAGAGACACAGCAGCTTCTAGAGGGGACCGGTAGTTCACCGGATCGAGAACTCCAAAGCCTTAAAGAAAAAGTACAAACCATAGCTGAGGAGGGATGGAACCTGAAGGAAGAACAACAACTAGCAGAGGACCGGGTAGAGGTTAAGTGTGAGGAGCCTCCCATTGAAACCCCAGAAGTATCTCTGATTGACCAAGCTAAGAGTGAGGAAGTTGTCAAAAAGAAGAAAACGGAAAAGGACAAACAAAAACCTACCATGGAATCAGAGAAATCGGAAAGCGAGAAATCAGTATTATGCCATGAGTGTGACATTGGTATCGCTGATCCTGTTGACCAGCAATGTATAACCAAGTGTATAACCAGTGCTGATAACCCTAAGGAGAAATTAGAATCCACAACAAATACTGGTACCCAAAAAGACGAGTCAGGGTACACAACCAACCCTGATAACTTTGTAGACTGCCTGAACTCTTCAGCTGACCCAAAATGTCAATTGGACTCGAAACAGTCCACAGCTGGGAATTCAAACAATGTCAAAGAAGAAGATGCAATCAAGGTCTCAGTTGAAGAGGCTCAAACAATCCAAGACACAAAGAAACAGGGAATTAACTTTCACAGTCCCATAGTTCTAAGACCGGAGCTCGAGAAGAGCATGGTACCTGAAGACCTTATCGCCAATGATGGTGTCACTACTCACCCAGACCATGTTACCGAAAATGCCATAAAAGACCTGAAAGCGGCAGGTCAGGATGAACAAAATGGGAGCCCAGATGAGTGTAAAAATGCACTTGAACATAAAGACATTTCGATAGCACTGCCAGCAAATGTAGATAAATGCACACATTTATCAGGAGAGAACTGTGGCACATCACTCAATAGCAACTGCCCTGCTGCTGAGACCATAAGACAGCTTGAACAATTGGTGGGTCTACCTGGTTGTCCAGTCGCTGACAAGCACTTAGATGAAAACAACAAGCCAGAAACACTTGATGGAGAAAATGCATCAAATGGAGGGATCTCCACAGAGACCGAGCTGAATGATACAGAAACACGACTACAGGACCCTGTAGAAGAAACTCCGGAGACAATTGACTCTTTTAGGGAACAGGGCCACAATGAAAGCAGACCATGCACCATGGTGGCCGAAGCAGAAGAGCAAGATGATCCCACTGAGGCCAATCTGGAGGTTAACAAGGTACCTGGACCCAGTGAGCAGGGGAATGACGAGGAGGGGAATGATGATATAGATGAGGAGGGTCAATCATTTGACTTTGACGACCTAGATTTGGTGGTTTCTGCAAAAGTGTTTCCAGTAAAGTCCCAAGAGGAGGTTAGCCAGGAGGTGAGAATGATGATTGAAGGCGACAAAATAGAGGTAGAGCCAGGTAGAGAGAAGGCAAATAAGGAAGAGGAGGACGGCAAACCGCAGGGCACAGTAGAGGGAGTTAGCACGATAGTGGCAAAGCAGCCACTTGAAGGGGGGTCAGATGGTGCACCAGAATAGCTCCGAAGCCCTGAAGAAAAAGCACAAAACAGAGTTGAAGGACAGAATGCCAATGAAGAACAACAACTAATCACAATACAGGAAGGGATTAGTGTAAAATACGAACAGAAAGACATTGCACAGGAGGGAGTGTGTGTGACTACTGAACCACAATGTGTAGGAGAGAGTAAGAGGCTGCAGAATTCAACAGAGTTAGATTTGCCAGTAGAGGAGAGGGAAGAGGCAATCCAGTATGGGTCACAGCAGGGTAGAAGATAGAGTAGGCAAAGTACGGATTCAGCAGGGGGCGACGATGAGCAATCTAGGACAGGCTCGAAAAAGGGCAGCAAGAAAGGAAAAGGCAAGGGGAAAGAGGACTGTCGAATGGCCTAGTCTTTACGTCTGCCCTCAATATAAACAACTGCAAATATTTATGAAAGGAATTGCAGAGTCTGAACTACTAGAGCCGAAGCACCTTCAATTCAGATTTATTCCAAAGCTATTATTAGATATATGTATGTGGGTATTTTAGCTAATTTCGATTAACCCTTTACACTCGTACCTGTATACAGGTTGAAAATTGCAGATTTGGGCACTAATAAGCCCCTAAATTGGGCTGTACAGTAACATGCGATACATGACATAAGAGCTCTGGCTCTGCGCTTCACATCACTTTATGGAACAGCCGTTCAGAACTTGAGCACTGCGTACAAAATAATTTTCCCCCATCCCTTCCGGTAATTGGGCAACTTTTGCAAATGTTTGGTTGTCTGATTGAGGAAAATGCTCTAAATTAAGATGACTCTATGTATTTTGAAAGATGAGACGTTGAGGTTCATAATAAATAACGCTTTGGTATCATACAAGCAAGCCAAATGTGCACTTCAAATTTCCGAATCATAAAACTCAGGTCATATACAGTGTCAATGTTTATGATCACTATGTTTGATGTACAGTTACAAGATGACATGGCGTCATACCCTGGGTTGTTCTGAAGAGAATGAGCTTATGTTTATTGTGAAGCAAATTCGCCGGGGCACATGCCCCTGAATTCAGTCATGACTCCTTTCTACGCGCACCAAAGTTTATCTGAATTGCCTTGTGAAAGCCTAATACTATAAGATTGTATTTTATAACTTAGCTTGTGTGATGGCGGGGATGAAGGGTTGTGTTCCAAATTAACAACTATAAGTGTGATTGCTCTAGTTCCTCAACGGCACAGCTAGGAGAGCTCAAAAAAGTACCTTGTAGTTGAAGACTCGTCTTTGAGTAATAAAAGTGTATTGAAAATTGCTTAGGAACTGTGCACACTTTGGAGAGGTGTGTGTGGCCACTTGGAGACACCAGTTAGTCCTCTCACTCAAACCCTTGTAACGTTTTGGTCTTATGTTGCACCTACCCCACATTTTCCAGGAATAGTCTTATGTTACTGAGTGTATCCAGAGTATTTTCAGTTTTCGTTAACAAATGCGGTGAAAAGTACAGTAAATGTAAAATGCACATAAAATCAGTGTAATGTTTTTGGATTCAGTCTTGTGTCAGGTGAACTGTTGTGTACTCACCTTTGGTCTAATAATTATCCCCAAATTGTTCCCTTTCAATTGCTACCATGGTTATGCATTTCATATTTCTTCTGTAAGAAACGTTTCAATTTATCCCTATCCATATAGGCCAATTCCTACGAGTGTAAAGGGTTACACATCATTTTTTTTAGGTGAAATGCTGTGCAGAATGGTCTTCAATTGTCTTGAGATTTTGTTCTATATTATCTTAAATAGATGTTAATGTGCATGACATCCTGCAGATCAACATGAGTAACATTATGTTGTGTAGACAATATTGCAGCGGACTATATATTTATTTTGTAACTTCTTTAAACTATGCTTATGTCCCTGTATTATTATTGTCCTTTATATTGTACTGTTATTGTCCTTTATATTGTACAATGCGTTTTCCTATGTGAAATGCACCATGAGCGTTTTCCAGATGTTTTTTGCTTAAGTGTTTTGGGAAGTTGGTCCTAAAATGGGATGGGTAATCTTACCATGCAGACTTTTTTTCCCCAAATAAGCAGTAACTCAACTGATTCAACTAAGAAAGCCTTAATTGAAAACGAGTTGTAGTAGTTGATAAGTAGAATCCATCAGGTGTGTTACTGCTTGCCTGGAACGCATTGGCCTAGAGGCGGCAGGTAGCTTAGTGGGTAAGAGAGTTGTGCCAGTAACCGAAAGGTCGCTGGTTCTAATCCCCGAGTCGACTAGGTGAAAAATCTGTCGATGTGCCCTTAAGCAAGGCACTTAACCCTAATTGCTCCTGTAAGTCGCTCTGGATAAGAGCGTCTGCTAAATGACGTAAATGTAAATGTAAGGGTACTGTTATGATGAGTTTCTCTGGCATCAAGTAATTCAGTATGCAAGAAGATACTTAAACACTTACATGGAGAGTTGATGCAAAGTATTTAATATTGCGGTACCGGATACAGCATAGTTGCCCCTTGTTGCCCCCAGTTAGTTGCCCCTCGTTATCTGAATGCCTTACATAGAATACCTCTCAGTTTATATAATGCTTTCCGAGCTAATTCCATCCAACATTTGCCAACCATTATTGAATGTCACTCCTCACCACAATAGTATCACCCTATATGGTATCGTGTTGCACCCTAGTCAGGATATTCCATCACGTACTCCTTCTAAGATTAGCACCAGTGGCCCCCCCAGCTATCTTGGCACACATACCTTCTGGCACCCACCAGTGACAGAAATAAATACATGGAATGTCCTCATCCTCCAAATCCTATGCAGCTCACAATATCCAATATTAACTAATCCTGTATAAAGACGTAATATCAGGTACATTGCCCATACTCTTGTATAAATCTACAGCACCTATATAATGTATTAATATAATATTGATTGATTGATTTGAATGCATCTATTCAAGGCACGATGTTACATCGAAATGCATGATAAAGCATCTATATATTGTGCAATTACCAAGAGAAACAAATACTGTAGCAATTGATTGCACATCATTTATTGTAATAAATAATTCATTATCACAATGTCAAAAGGTTACCCAGAACTAAAAAATATTTACTAGCTTGGTGGTGTAGGTAGGAAAAAGGGTTTAATTAAGAAAAAAACTAACAGATGGGATTGTTTCAAGTCTCTCATGCCATAAAATTGGCTGGAAAATCATCCTTGTTTCAAGTCAATTCCATTTAGGCTATATCAGGTGAAATCCAAGCCCTGGGCTATTATGTGCAAACTGTAGAATTGCCTCGGAAAGTATTCAGACCCCTTGACTTTTTCCACAGTTAGTTACATAACAGCGTTATTCTAAAAAAAAAATATTTCACATCTACGAGGAATGTCATCATCGAATATTGTAAGAGCTTTCATTGTCCAATCGACATACAATACCCCATAATGACAAAGCAAAAACTGATTTTTAGAAATGTTTGAAAATGTATTAAGAATTAACTAAAATCACATTTACATAAGTATTCAGACCCTTTACTCAGTACTTTGTTGAAGCACCTTTGGCAGCGATTACAGCCTCGAGTCTTCTTGAGTATGACGCCACAAGCTTGGCACACCTATATTTGGAGAGTGTCTCCCATTCTTCTCTGCAGATCCTCTCAAGCACTGTCAGGTTGGATGGGGCACGTCGCTGCACAGCTATTTTCAGGTCTCTCCAGAGATGTTAGATCAGGTTCAAGTCCGGGCTCTGGCTGGGCCACTCAAGGACATTCAGAGACTTGTCCCGAAGCCACTCCTGTCTTGTCTTGGCTTAGGGTCGTTGTCCTGTTGGAAGGTGAACCTTCGCCCCAGTCTGAGATCCTGAGCGCTCTGGAGCAGGTTTTCATCAAGGATCTGTATTTTGCTCAATTCATCTTTCCCTCGATCATGACTAGTCTCCCAGTCCCTGCCGCTGAAAAAAATGGTGCCAGGTGTTCTAAAGTCGTGACGTTTGGCATTCAGGCCAAAGAGTTCAATCTTGGTTTCATCAGACCAGAGAATCTTGTTTCTCATGGTCTGAGAGTCTTTAGGTGCCTTTTGGCAAACTCCAAGCGGGCTGTCATGTGCCTTTTACTGAGGAATGGCTTCTGGCTGGCCACTACCATAAAGGCCTGATTGGTGGAGTGCTGCAGAGATGGTTGTCCTTCTGGAAGGTTCTCCCATCTCCACAGAGGAACTCTGGAGCTCTGTCAGAGTGACCATCGGCTCCTTGACCAAGGCTCTTCTCCCCCGATTGCTCAGTTTGGCCAGGCGGCCAGCTCTAGGAAGAGTCTTGGTGGTTCCAAACTTCTTCCATTTCAGAATGATGGAGGCCACTGTATTCTTGGGGACCTTCAATGCTGCAGACATTTTTTGTTACCCTTCCCCAGATCTGTGCCTCGACACAATCCTGTCTCGGAGCTCTACGGACAATTCCTTCGACCTCATGGCTTGGTTTTTGCTCTGACATGCACTGTCAACTGTGGGACCTTATACACAGGTGTTTGCCTTTCCAAATCATGTCCAATCAATAGAATTTACCACACGTGGACTCCAAACAAGTTGTAGTAACATTTCAAGGATGATCAATAGAAACAGGATGCACCTGAGCTCAATTTAGAGTCTCATAGCAAAGGGTCTGAATACTTATGTAAATAAGGTATTTCTGTTTGTTATTTTCCATAAATTTGCTTACATATCTAAAAACCTGTTTTCGCTTTGTCATTATGGGTTATTGTTTGTCGATTTGATGAGGGCAAAAAAATTAGTTAATCCATTTTAGAATAAGTCTGTAACGTAACAAAATGTGGAAAAAGTCAAGTGGTCTGAAACTTTCCAAATGCACTGTATGCCATGTGTGCTGAATTCATATAATGATATGACAGCTAGACAAAATGTACAGAGTGTAAGAATATGACTCCCTTGTTAATCTCTGGTCTAAATGTTTCTTCATGTGCACTTTTTGTAAGGAAATACCTTGACCCTTTTCCTTAATGAATAAAGTAAGTCATTACCAGCTTTGAGAAAGAAACTGTAGTACTAATGCATTATTGTATAATACTACTTATGTAGTGGTGTCTGCCTGTCAGTAGAAGTCTAATTGACGCACAAACAAATCTCTTAGGTTCATCTTCCCTCATCCATTCGCTGTTTAGCCCTAGAGGTTGAGTGTCCTCCTCTCCACAGTTTCTGCATGCTAACCATAGCCCCACCCCTCACCTATCCTCTCCCAATGGACACCTGCTCCATTGCATGCATAAAGGGACTCTAAACTCCTCCCACTCTGACTCAGCCCCTCCCTGTCCATGTACTTGGCTCCTCCCACCCCTGGTATGTCAACATTGGTTTTACATTGGTTTTACAAGTTGTTCTTATGATTGTTCTTGCATGAGCGTAATGAAATTGTGTAATAATTGGGTTATAGATGCTTACTCATAAAGTTATACAGATAATGGTGAGAAGTTCTGTGAGACTTTGAATGTGTATTTAATGTACATTTAATGTGAGACTGTTACTGTACTGTAAGCAGTTGTCCAATCTTGTTGCAAACATTCTCTGTAGTACTGAAGTGAAGCAGATCAGCACTAAATCTCCATCTGCCTGTGTTTCTTTCAGAGATCCGCCTGAGGAAGCTGGTTGACGAGCGGGAGAACTTGATAGGACAGGTGAGGAAGGACATCCATCCATAGTATGTCTGGGTCACCTATTACGTTAGCTGAACTCCCCAACTGAATTGTCTACGTTTGTGTTGCTGCTATTTCTTGTTGTTTTTATACGGCTGCACTGAGCTGCAGCTAAATTGTGTAGAGATTAACTGACGTTAAATCATGCTGGGTTGAAATGATAAGCCGATAAACCGAGGTGGCATGGGTGGCTGGACTAAATTGTGAAGTCACTGTACAATGTGAAGTCACGCACTTACATACAGACAGATGTTTTAACTATGTTCTGAATGTGGTCCTCCCTATAGGTGAAGAAACTGAAGGCCCAAGTAGAGCAGAAGAAACCGAGGAACGGGACTGAGGGGGACCCCAGCCCCGAGGGCGAGGTACTGGAGAACGGCACAGACCCGCACATACAAGACCTGCAGAGTAAGATCCACAGCTCAATGCAGGCTTTTTGGTTCCTTGGCATCTGACACACACCTGAAATATTATAACATTGTGTTGTGACCTATGAAATTAATTACTAAAGACACAAATTAATATGTTAGTCCTAACAATGTTATTTCAATAGGATTCAAATTCAGTATCTACTGCATTGGCACATCAGACCTTGTTTTCTTTTTTCCCACATTTGCAGGAGATGCCAGCAGGCAACTTAGTGACCTAAAGTTCAAACTTGTCAAATCGGAGCAGGATGTGACAGCTTTGGAACAGAATGTAAGCGTACTGTCATTAACCAGGTTGATTGGAAAGAGATAATTATCACAGATCCAATTACTGTTAATTTGACTCGTTATTGGCTGAGATTCTCATGTACTCTATCCAATCACCAATCTGCAGGTTACCAGGCTCGGGGTTCAGGTGACCCGCTACAAGAGTGTGTCAGAGAACGCTGAGAAAGTGGAGGACGAGTTGAAGGCTGAGAAACGCAAGCTGCAGAGAGAGGTATGGCCCCCAGCTGTCAGTCATGTGGCTTGAATCAAGCTCCTATGCAGAGACCAGATGTCAGGGGCCTGCAATCTTTAGAACATTGCTTCTGATGATAGAGTTTAAATGTATAGAATTACATGTGGAAGAGAATAGAATGGAATAGTTTCTCCCTCATTTCCCGGAATTGTGCACTAATAGACTTCCCTGTATGGATTTAAAAGGAATGGACTAATGCTTTGAAATCTTAGGGGTAGTGAACAAGTGCACACTTTTGGGAGAAGGGGGAGTAGGGGATTGGGCAATAATGTACACAATTTCTTGTATTTTGTAATACAAAAACATTGGAACAGTAAGTTACTAATTCATTGTTGATCTTGAATTAGAGCGTCTCTGATTAAAGTTGAATGATTGATCTTTGTTCTTTCTGTTCCTTCCTTGATGGCAGTTGCGGTCAGCGCTGGACAAGATAGATGAACTTGAGTCGAACAACAGCCACCTCTCCAAACGGTTGGACAAGATTAAGGCCAATCGCTCCACGGCAACGACTCCCTAACGATGACCTGGCAGCATAACTCTGCCCCTATCCTGTCTGTCCACCAATGGCTGCCCACGTAGGAGGGAGTGTCCCGCCTTGCATTGGGCTCTCCTCTCCATCTGCTTCGCAATCTTATGAAAAGAACCTTGAGAAATTTGAGTTATCCTAATCGCTAGCACACAGAACACAAAAATGCGCAATGTGCCATTTTCTTCATGTCTTTTGTTTTTGTTTGTTTTTCCAATGATGAGAATTCTTCATAGTTGTATATATGACACAGTAAATGACACCCAGAAAGCCCCTACCAAGCACTACTTGGCGGGGAAAGAGGTAGTCTGTGTGCCTCACTTCCTGCTACCAGGGGGTGGCGCTGCTCTGCACCAGAGAATTGTAGGAAATGCGTGCTACAGGGGGGAGACTTGGGACTGGAGGAGGTTCTTTGGACCGCGACTGGCTGCTTGGGCTACATGACTGTCCTATCCACCCCCCATCCCCAGTGTACAGACTAATACTGAATGTCCCTCTGTCCGGAACCACCTGCCGCCTCACTCAACCCACGTTTACTAAACAGAGAGGACATGGCCTGAAGTCTTAGTGGACTGAACTGAACTGGGTTAACATGGTGTGCTGTGTATGTGAGAGCATGTCTTTTTTATACACACCCAACCCACTCTTATACCCTGCATTTCTCTCTCATCTGTGTCCTAAAGCCAAAGTATGAGCACATTTTACCATGGTTGGGTGTGTATGTTTGTTACCTGTTGAGTCTCTTACGTCCAAGGGCTTGTGTAGTCGATAGGCCATGGAAGGTTGTGTGTGCATCCCACCTTCCCAGGCTACACTGTCTCTATTACCACAATCAATATAATCATTGTCACACGAACAGAATGTATTTACCTGCCCATGTGATTTCACCCGTTTTCTACTTCAGATGTATTAAGTGTTTTTTGTTGACAGATTTGTCTTTGAATGTACCCGGGTCATGTTCATTAGGCACCAAACAGAATAAATTGTCAAACAGGGAGGGACTACCTGAAATTGTCCAATAAGATACGCTCATTTTCGTTTTCCGTTGCCATTTTGCTACAGTGTGCCCTAATGAACAGAACACAGTTGTTAGGTCCTAAACAGCTTGAATAAACTAATGAACCAATCCACTACAGCCACAGCTTTGAGTGAGGCTCAGAGCAGCCAATGACATGAAGCCTGCGTATCCCCCCCCCTCCAATCTGGTAGAGCCCCATTGAAGTTTGTCTCAGGGTAAATCTCAATTGCATACGCCTTGCGTCCTCTCCCCTCAAAACCCATTGGATGAGAAAGCCAGAGGTCCCTCCCCTCTGACCTCCTCAAATGGGTTTTAAGAAGGAGGCGAGGAGTATGCAATTGAGATTCTCCCTCAGTCTCAAGCAATATGTAGAAAGTCACTGGTTGGCCTGCCACCTCACATACTCTTGCTTGTTGAGACATGCTAGTGCTGATGATGCTTATGGTGATGAAATGACTTCACAAATAGGGAGGGAATGTTGATAGGATACCCCCTCAAACACACACACTCTGGGGAGACGCTGCTTCACTGTTTACAAAGCTTTAAAATGTTTGTAAGGAGACTTAAGGAATTATAATATTTGTGCAATAAAATGTCCAACCATGCTGTACTGGCAGTTGTGTGTTTAAATCATTTACCTCCAATAGATGAGTGATTGCTGTGCCCACTTTCAATTCTTCCCATATTCAATGACATTCAACATGAAGGAAAATATAATTTATGATAAGCTGGCTCACTTAAACACACACGCTTCTTTAATCTAAGGTCCATGGTGCCTCCAATTAATATTTTAAAGCTACTCATGTGGCAGTCATGTGAGCCTACGATTTGGAAAGAAAAGTGGGAATTTCATGTTTCAGTTGTGTACTCCAAGGCAGTGTCCAGAAACAACCCCTACCGCCTACCCCTTATGTACCTATTAAATCCTGTCAGACGTATTAATACACTTGTGTCTAGGGGGTAGAGATTGTTTCTGTACATGGACTGAGTTTCAGAGGAGCATCCTCTGTCGGATGAGCTAGTGGGCTGCAGGGAAAAGTAGTCTCCAACTTGCCCCGTGCCACCCTAGCGGGCAGGGAGGAGTATGCAAGGCTCTGGATGCATAGAACCATGCGGCAGACGTAGAAGTCCTGATAGTCCGGCTGCAGTTTGTTCAGAATGTGTAGTGCCCTCTCCAGTGCCTGAAAGGCCCGAGCGGCTGCCACAGGGTCCTTATTACCATAGGGTTCCTTCTTGTCATAACTTTCTGCAGGCAGGTGGCGCCAGAAAATGTTGAGACCCACGCCAAACTAACGTCAGGGTGTTATGGAACCACAGGGCTGAAAGAGAGGGAGGATATTTAACTGTGCACACGGATTTACTACAGTGTGTAGCTAAATACATTTACAGTGTAGATTCAGGCAATTACACTTGTTACCCAGGAAATTTCAATTCCATACTATTTTTTATTTTAATTTAATTTAATTTGTTTTGACTCGAGTGTAATCATCACTTAATTTAATCATCCTGTCTTCCAATACCGGGGATGAAGAGCAAGTCTCCAGGTTCCAGCATACACTCGTACCGCCGAGCCTTCACAAACTCCGGGAACCGCCCCAGGTCTGGAGGGTCTATGTCCAGAACCTCAGATTTGTACTGATACATTTAAGTGAAATAAATAGACATGTAACAGTAGACCATTTTCTGTAGTACTGTGGAGTATTTTTTGTTTAATCCGACACAGGACGAACCCCCCCAGGTCTACCTGACAGTGAGTGCAATGAATCTGGGGCGTAGAGCACCAGGCTTCCTCTGTCACCTGGGTGGGACAATGGGATGTGACGGTACATTAAACTGACTTGAACTTTAATTTAATTCAAGCCTGATTTGAGTTTGACGACGAAACACGTAAATAGTTTCTACTGTATGTTTTTTCTTTCATAGCAAATCACTTTCACTTGTTATACTCCAAGACTAGCTAGCAAGAAATCAGCGTTAGCTAGCTAGCTAGTAACATCAGCTGAGATGGAAGCTAGCAAAAATGTAGAGGGAGCTGTCGTAACTGAGGTGGATACTGTCAACTATATGGAAGATTTTTACACTCCCCCAGAAGTAACGGTACCGAGGTCGGAGGAATTCGTCTGCTGTACAGGTGTCCAAATAACCCCTTCGAAACCCCCCAACCTTGAAGAGACTACTTTGGAAGGATGCTTGGGGTCATTGTCCATTTGGAAGACACATTGGCGACCAAGCTTTAACTTCCTGACTGATGTCTTGAGATGTTGCTTCAATATATCCACATAATTTTCCTTCCTCATGATGCCATCTATTTTGTGAAGTGCACCAGTCCCTCCTGCAGCAAAGCACCCCCACAGCATGATGCTGCCACCCCCATGCTTCACGGTTGGGATGGTGTTCTTTAGCTTGCAAGCGACCCCCTTTTTCCTCCAAATATAACGATGGTCATTATGGCCAAACAGTTCTATTTCTGTTTCATCAGACCAGAGGACATTTCTCCAAAAAGTACGATCTTTGTCCCCATGTGCAGTTGCAAACCGTAGTCTGGATTTTTTTATGGCGGTTTTGGAGCAGTGGCTTCTTCCTTGCTGAGCGGCCTTTCAGGTTATGTCGATATAAGACTCGTTTTACTGTGGATATAGATACTTTTATACCTGTTTCCTCCAGCATCTTCACAAGGTCCTTTGCTGTTGTTCTGGGATTGATTTGCACTTTTCGCACCAAAGTACGTTCATCTCTAGGAGACAGAACGTGTCTCCTTCCTGAGCGGTATGACGGCTGCGTGGTCCCATGGTGTTTATACTTGCATACTATTGTTTGTACAGATGAACATGGTACCTTCAGGCGTTTGGAAATTGCTCCCAAGGATGAACAAGACTTGTGGAGGTCTACCATTTTTTTTCTGAGGTCTTGGCTGATCTCTTTTGATTTTCCCATGATGTCAAGCAAAGAGGCACTGAGTTTGAAGGTAGGCCTTGACATACATCCACAGGTACACCTCCAATTGACTCAAATTATGTCAATTAGCCTATCAGAAGCTTCTAAAGCCATGACATCATTTTCTGGAATTTTCCAAGCTGTTTAAAGGCACAGTCAACTTAGTGTATGTAAACTTCTGACCCACTGGAATTGTGATACAGTGAATTATAAGTGAAATAATCTGTCGGTAAACAATTGTTGGAAAAATTACTTGTGTCATGCACAAAGTAGATGTCCTAACCGACTTGCCAAAACTATAGTTTGTTAACAAGTAATTTGTGGAGTGGTTGAAAAACTAGTTTTAATGACTCCAACCTAAGTGTATGTAAACTTCCGACTTCAACTGTAGATGAAATGCCAGAATTAGCACTTGAAGGGCTCACTGTAAACAACGTTTTTGTGTAGGAAGTTCACCTGTGGGACAGTGGATACATGAACATTCACTTCACAATAACTTCCTTTCTGCCCAAGGTACTCCACTGTCCACTTTCCAGGCATGGTCCAAGGCCTACATCTCTCAGCACCACTGGTCTTCGCTGCATGAAAGAACCAGACCAAGCTAGATCAAATGGACAATGCAGATATGCATTCATCTAGCCCGGGTGGTGAGGGTAGGCATCAACACCTCCGCCGCGCTGATACGCAACACGGGAGCCCCCCAGAGGTGTATGCTCAGCCCCCTCCTGTACTCCCTGTTCTCCCATGAATGTGTGGCCAGAGCCCTGGCGGAGTAGTGCCAGGAAAATAACCTCTCCCTCAACATCAAGAAAACAAAGGAGCTGATTGTGGACAACAAGAGACAGAAGAGGGAGCACAAACTTCTACAGAGGCACCATTGAGAGCATTCTGTCGGTCTGCATCACCGCCTGGTAAGGCACCTGCACTGCCTTCAACTGCATGGCTCTCCAGATGGTGGTGCGGTCCGCCCAACGCATCATCGGGGGCCTGGTGCGGTCCGCCCAATGCCTGCACTCCAGGACATTTACAGCACTCGGTGTCAAAGGAAGGCCAAGAAGATCACTAAGGACCTCAGTCACCTGAGCCACGGACTGTTTACTCGGCTACCGTCTGGCAGACGGAGACAGTACAGGTGCATCAGTGACAAGACGAGACAAAAAAATTGCTTCTATTACCAGGCCATCAGGCTGTTGAACAGCCATCACTAGCCGTCTACCAGGTGATACACACTCACTCACACAAAACACACACCTCATACGCACAAACACACACACAGACAACACTGCTGTACCATGTCATAGAGACATTGAACCAATGGCCACTTCCCATTTTACACTGAGTATTTAAATAGGTACTGTATTCCCGATTTACAGGTAATTCTAATATTACTACTAATGTACTTTGTATTTAGTTACACTGTTTATACACACCGCATATTTACAGTGCATTCGGAAAGTATTCAGACCCCTTCTCTTTTTCCACATTTTGTTACCTTACAGCCTTATTCAATAGTTTTTTTTCCCCCTCATCAATCTACACACAACACCCCATAATGACAAAGCGAAAACAGGTTTTTAGATTTTTTTGCCAAATGTATTAAAACTTTTAAACAGAAATACTTTATTTACATAAGTATTCAGACCCTTTGCTATGAGACTCGAAATTGAGCTCAGGTGCATCCTGTTTCCATTGATCATCCATGAGATGTTTCTACAACTTGATTGGAGTTCACCTGTGGTAAATTCAATTGATTGGACATGATTTGGAAAGGCACACACCTGTCTATATAAGGTCCCACAGTTGACAGTGCATGTCAGAGAAAGAAATAAGCCATGAGGTGTCCGTAGAGCTCCGAGACAGGATTGTGTCGAGGCATAGATCTGGGGAATGTTTTTTCTCTGCAGCATTGAAGGTCCCCAATAACACAGTGGCCTCCATAATTTTTAAATGGAAGAAGTTTGGAACCACCAAGACTCTTCCTAGAGCTGGCCGTCCGGCCAAACTGAGCAATCGGGGGAGAAGGGCCTTGTTCAGGGACGTGACCAAGAACCCGATGGTCACTCTGACAGAGCTCCAGAGTTCCTCTGTGGAGATGGGAGAACCTTCCAGAAGGACAACCATCTCTGCAGCACTCCACCAATCGGGCCTTTATGGTAGTGGCCAGACGTGCCATTTACTGAGGAATGGCTTCCATGACAGCCCGCTTGGAGTTTGCCAAAAGGCACCTAAAGGACTCTCAGACCATGAAAAACAAGATTCTCTGGTCTGATGAAACCAAGATTGAACTCTTTGGCCTGAATGCCAGGCGTGACCATCCCTATGGTGAAGCATGGTGGTGGCAGCATCATGCTGTGTGGATGTTTTTCAGCGGCAAGGACTGATAGACTAGTCAGGATTGAGGGAAGGATGTATGGAGCAAAATACAGAGAGCTCCTTGATGAAAACTTGCTCCAGAGCGCTCAAGACCTCAGACTGGGGCGAAGGTTCACCTTCCAACAGGACAACGACCCTAAGCACACAGCCAAGACCAGACAGGAGTGGCTTCGAGACACGTCTCTGAATGTCCTTGAGTGGCCCAGCCAGAGCCCGGACTTGAACCCGATCTAACATCTCTGGAGAGACCTGAAAATATCTGTGCAACGACGCTCCCCATCCAACCTGATAGAGCTTGATAGGATCTGCAGAGAAAAATGGGCGAAACTCCCCAAATACATGTGTGCCTGTAATTTAATCAATTTTAGAATAAGGCTGTAACGTAACAAAATGTGGAAAAAGTCAAGGGGTCTGAATACTTTCCGAATGCACTGTATATACTGGATTCTTGACATAGCTCACTCTAATATAGCCCAATAATGGACTAAATGAGCCTAATGTTGCTCCTTATATTTAAAAGCCAAACACTCCATCTAAATGTGAATCGATTCTCAATTGCAGTAAGGTTCTAGAAACATACAGTCAATTCCTCTGCTTTCATATCACATCAAACAGCAAAATACACACTTACTGTACAGTGTACACTGTTTGAAGGCGTACGTCTTCCATTTACACACAGGTGTTCGGAGATGCATATAGCTAATTAGCACAGGTAGTCCACTCTGTCTTCCCTAAACAAACTCAACATGGAGATATGGTGGTGTGGGAAAACTAACCCTATAAAGTGTATAAATGTAACCTTTTTTAAATTATTTTTATATTAGTATTATTTGTCACTGATATGAAAGATAAGGTCCTTATGCTTTACCGCAAGCAATGCGTGTTAATGTTCAGACCGAGTGTTGGGGCTCTCTCTTAACAAAACTCCCCCTAACTCTTCATCCAATGACTTTTGTGTGTAATGCAATGGAACAGAATCATGATCAAGGGCTAACTTTAATATATGTATGTACTGCTGTACATATCATTCTTAGTATATCTTGTGTACATGTTTCCTTTGTACATACACATAGATTGCATTTTGATTACTGTTTCTGTGCCATTTGAGTTAATTGGATTTGCGCAGAAGTTCTTGATTTCAAGTTTTTTTTATTGTACTTTTTGTACATTTTAATTATTTGTGTACTTGTTTGATAGTAGCATAAGCATTTCGCTATAACATCTACTAAACCGTGTATGCGACCAATAAACTTTGATTTGATTTACCAAGATTTTTTATTTCCCAGAGATGTCTTACAATTGGATAAATGTCTCGTGGAAAATTGTCTTTATCCAGTCCTGTAAAGACAGGGACTGAAACTTTCTCCTGGTGTTCCATTACTTAATTTTATAGACGTGAACTCGACAGTGTATTTATGCTGGAAGTTCTATATGCGAGCATGTATCAGTGTCACACTATTTACCTTCCGCAAAAATGGAACCATAGTATACTAGCTATCAGTGGGTGAATTTTGTGTTGTTTATATTACTTTAAAAATACAAAGTTAAAAAATATGCATGTTCATATCAAATATCTTAAGTAATGTACAAATTAAGTAATGTGTGAATTATATCTCAAACGTTCATGCTTTTCGATTTTATTGTCAGAGATTTTATAGTAACCAAGTAATGTGTACCCATGTTTGCTATCGGATGATGCAGACTGAAGGACCGAGATGCTGTTGGAGGAGAAGATGGCGCTGCCCGTGTTAAGAGGTTGCTACTGTAGCAGGCCGCCTTCAGTACTGAGTCGTTTCTTGAAACCTGTGCAGCCCCAGTCCAACAAGACTACTCGCCTGGTTCCAACTTTGTCCGTTGGTGTTGTGTCCACAGTCCGACCTTACAGCTCTGATCGAGGTGGAGGTAAACAAAACCAGAAAGTGGTTGTGGTTGGCATCCCCAACCCTTTCATATGGTTCCGAACCCGAATATACTACTTTTTGATTCGGGTCTATTTTGACAAGGAATTCAAAATCGAAGAATTCACAGAGGGATCGAAACAGGTACGCTACAATCCGTGGAATGAGTGCTCTAGCTAGTGGAAGCTAGTTAGACCAGAAATACTTCATTTCTTAAAGTAAGCCTGGCTAGACACATCCCATCTAGCCAAGAGAAACAACGTGGGCGTTACTTACTGCAAGCCAAGTTTTGTGCACAATCCAGTTCTTGTTAAATTTTGTGACTGTTTCCCCTTCTAATCATGAACAGTTAAACGTTTCCTTAGTGCATCTTACGTAATTCTTACGTTGTGTTATAGCTCAAATATCATGTTGTTGCAGGCATTCTCCCATGTTTCAAGACTGTTGTCGGGGAGTCAATTTGAGTCTCTTGAAGGTCTGGTTGCTAAAGACGTGAGTATTCTTAGACATTTTTTCACAAATCATTTCAGTGTAGCATTGACAGGGGAGCTGCTAGTGGGTTGGGGGTGGCAGCTAGCCCTAGCAGTTTAGAACATTGTAACCGAAAGTTTGCTGGTTCAAATCCTCGAGCCGACTAGGTGAAAATTATGTTGATGTGCCCTTGAGCAAGACACTTAACCCTAATTGCTTCTGTAAGTCGCTCTGGATAAGAGCGTCTGCTAAATTAGGGGTTCCCAAACTTTTTCACTCAGGCCCCCCTTCCAGCATTGGGGAACATCCCGCGCCCCCCACGTCTATTTGTATGGGCACAACCACTGTTCATGACACAAACTGTTCACACCCCTCTTGTTAGTTTTTTTTTGTTGCAGTTTTAAAGCGAATTTTCTTGCAATTCTATACATTTTGCCATGTCTAATGTGTATTTATGTGATATATGAGTGACTCAAACATTACAACATATTCTATGGGCTAAAAAACCTAGCTAAAAAATGTTAGCTGACATGAGCTAGTTGATCTAGACATTTCTGGCAAGTTATAAATGGCTCTTTAAGGCAGGGTTTCCAACATTCGGTCCTGCCCCCCCACCCCACCCCACCCCACCCCACCCCACCCACCGGGTGCACAAGCTGATTCATATAATCAAAGCTTGATGATGAGTTGGTTATTTAAATCAGCTATGTAGTGCTAGAGCAAAAATCTAAATGTGCACCCAGGAGGGGCCCAAGGACCGAGTTTGGGAAACCCTGCTCTAAGGTGTACAATGACTGACATGACGAGAGGAAAATTGATGATGCACTACCCAATGCTAACCCCCCCCCCTACTGTGCTAAATGACAAAAATATCAATGTCAACCGCATTATCTGCAGGCATTAGGCCCTTTCTCATATTTCCTCTCTCCATTTTCTCCCTCACAGCTGATTGCAAAACTGGAAGAGAAATGTGCTCTGCTCCCTCCCAGCCACCTACAAGCGCTTTCTGCAGATCTGGAAGACGTGATGTACACAACACCAGGGGATGTTGGCATCTATTATGATGATGAAGGTAAGAGCCAGGTTATGTCTACACAGCAAAAAACAACAACACACTAAACCACATACTCCTTTACCATGACTGATCATTTCTGATGTCAACAGTCAGTAATATGTTCTAACTAAATGTGGGTGGATTCCAATAAAATGATGTATTTCCTTCTGTATTGACTTTGATTGCATATCTGTAAGGCTTGAATAAGTGATTGGATTAGTAGGCACTGTGCCATTTCATTTCAGATTGGCAAATGGGAGCTCACCAAGGGAAGGGAATGAGTTATCACAGTAGTCTCATTCACCAGAGCCTGTATGCCTGGTGTGCAATACATTAATTTGCCATAAGCACTGAATGACCTGGCATAGGTGTTTTTAGGGCTGGCACTATTACTGTATAACCGTGTAACTGACATTTATGGATGAAGACTGTCATGGAAATAAAATAACCGTAAAAAAAAAAAAAATGGAACGAACAGCTGATCGAAGACAGCCAGCATTCGTGCGGTTGAGTCTGTTTCTGCGGTAATGTACTATTTACAACATGATGAAACTTTGTTACTCCTTGCTGAAACAAGCAACGCCCCCCTCCCTGCAGCAGCACACATAGCAATAGAATGGATACTAAACTAGTTAAATGTCTTACCTGTTATTTAAATGTTTTCCACACACATATAGCTACTGTACGTGTAGCCTACTTGGACTCCGGGACCCCACAATTTCCCACTCTCCCATGCTGAATAGCCTGAAGCCACAGGGCTCTCTTGCAGGCCCTATTTCCCTAAGTGGGAGCATTGCAAACCATAGGTCGGAATTTTGACCTGGTTATTGAACAACACAGTAGCTTTTCGGCATGTTTTGTTATTTCTGTATAACAAAAAACACTGGGGATCAATGGGAAATACATTTTGTTTTCTCCCATTTGTGGGCGTGGTTGAAGGGAATTTGTTATTATTACGTGAATATCGACAGAGTATTGCTGCCTGGTATTGTTATGCAATAATTTCCATGGTAATGTAAATGTTAATTCAAATTAAGTTAACATGGCTCATGCAATGGAATGTATTTTTTGTAAGGTCAGTTGAGTTGAATCAACAAATCACAGCGCATATTGATGGGTACAAGGTAGTGGGTTCAATCCCCGGGACCACCCATACACAAAAATGTATGCACGCATGACTGTAAGTCGCTTTGGATAAAAGTGTCTGCTAAATGGCATATTATTATTATTATTATTATTATTACCTAGCTTTTACTTCCTGCTTTGCTCCTATGGGAACACTTGCAATAGCCGCCAGTTCACCCATTATGCCATCATTGACTTGAATGAGGACGCCCGTTCTATTCATTCTATTTCTATTGCCGCACATGCAGTAAGGAAAGGAGGAGAGGAGAAAATGAGCGTATACATTTTTTATAAGCTATTCAAACAGTTATAACAGTGACCGCTTTCATTTGGCTGACCAATAACCGTCATCCAAAATGTCATGACTGTCACAGCCCTACTGTAGGCATTTTGTTGTTGTTCCAAGAACATTTCTCTCTATTCTTTCAGGGCGGAAGTTTGTCAGTATTCTGATGCGGTATTGGTATCTAACAAGTGCCCGGTTGCCTGAGGAATCATTGGAGGGAACACGCATCTTTCAGGTGGCCATAGGTGGTGAGGGTGCGCCGGAGACTAAGAGACTGCTCACAGCCAACTATGAGTGAGTTTTTTGTTGTTGTTGTTAAAGTACAATGTGTCACAGTTGATTTAATGGTCTGCAGTTGGAAGTGGCTGTGATAAAGCAATTCATACTAAGTATCTCTCTGACAAATAGAAAGCACTAAGTCTGCAAACAGTCTCTCTGGGATGAGCCCACTCTTAGATCCTAAATCTGTTTCCAAGGAACAACTACCTGTAGTAACCTCATTTGCATGACTGTCAAATGTCTCACGTGCTTAATGTTTAGACTTCCTGTTTAACAACCCTTTTATCCATCATGGCTGTTTGCAGATTCCAAAGGGAGTTTACTAAGGGTGTGCCACCGGACTGGACCATCACCAGGATAGAGCACTCCAAGCTGCTGGATTAAACTGGGATTGAATGGAGATTATAGGGGGAGATGGAGAGCGGTAGAGAGTCAGAGAATGGAAGACCATAGTTCCTCCTGACCCTACAAGAATATCCCCCCCAACTGCTAAAATTCTGAGATGCCCCTCAGGAGCAAAATGCCTTTCAAACTCAAGACCAGAAGAGACATGGGGAATATTTGGTGCAAACTTTCTATCTGCCAGAAGTTACATACTATCCACTGTAGAAAAAGAACAAAAGTCAAACATTTATGTTCGTAGCTGTACTACTGTACGGAAAGCTGTGCAAGACCAGGTTGCTGAGTTTTTCACCCTTGTCTCAGGCAGCACTGCAATCAGTGGTGAAAACTAGGCTTTGTCAGTTCTGCCTCTAAGGCCTGAGATTCATTATTTTGTTTAATGGGGAGGGTAGACAAGTGGCATACAGACAAAACTGAATGAGCTCTGTATTGAGATTCTGTAGTCAGTCTTCGATCTGCTGCTGTCCACGCTTTGGTATGTTGAAGTAGAGCGCCCACACAGACTAAAGAAAATGTCACACTTTATGATTCAGATATAACCTCCTTGTACTCCTGCATTCACACACTCAATAGTTATGTAGAGAGGATGAAATCCAACAATGCCATAAAATTACTACAGCTACGGTTTCCATTTCTTGAGATGTGCTCTGTCACCAGAATAGTCCATCATCTGAAAATAAGTGATAACCAATTACTATTGGTGACTGAAAGTATATATGTGTTATTTTGTACAGTGGGTACTCTTCTGTGTGCACATGACTAGTAGTGATGCGATTGCGTTCCCACTGACACACATGAAAAGTGTGTGTGTGTCTGTAGAAAACTGCTCACTCAGTCCATTGTGCAATGGTCTTTGGCAGTCACACATTCTTATAAATCAATAAACATTTGTTGCAATGTGTTTTGTGTTTTCCCTCCAAAAAAATAAATACTGAAGTTTGGTAAACATGCAACATACATGCTAATATTATATACATCAATATAATATGGTTTACATATGCTTCAAATCAAATACAACCACATTTTATTGGTCACATACACATATTTAGCAGATGTTATTGCGGGTGTAGCGAAGTGCTTGTGTTCCTATCTCCAACAGTGCAGTAGTATCTAACAATTCACAACAATACACATCTCAAAGTAAAGTAATGGAATTAAGAAATATATAAATATTAGAACGAGCAATGTCGGAGTGGCATTGACTAGAATACAGTATATACATCTGAAATGAGTAAAACAGTATAAACATTTTTTTTTAACTAGGCATGTCAGTTAAGAACAAATTCTTATTTACAATGACGGCCTACCAAAAGGCCTCCTATGGGGACGGAGGCTGGAATAAATGAAAAATATATAGGGCAAAACACACATCACGACAAGAGATACAACACTACAGTGAGGGAAAAAAGTATTTAGTCAGCCACCAATTGTGCAAGTTCTCCCACTTAAAAAGATGAGAGAGGCCTGTAATTTTCATCATAGGTACACGTCAACTATGACAGACAAATTTAGATTTTTTTTCTCCAGAAAATCACATTGTAGGATTTTTAATGAATTTATTTGCAAATTATGGTGGAAAATAAGTATTTGGTCACCTACAAACAAGCAAGATTTCTGGCTCTCACAGACCTGTAACTTATTCTTTTAAGAGGCTCCTCTGTCCTCCACTCGTTACCTGTATTAATGGCACCTGTTTGAACTTGTTATCAGTATAAAAGACACCTGTCCACAACCTCAAACAGTCACACTCCAAACTCAACTCAACAAAGCCTACCACACTATGCCTGGCACACTACGCCGCCAGGGACTCAAATCCTGCAGTGCCAGACGTGTCCCCCTGCTTAAGCCAGTACATGTCCAGGCCCGTCTGAAGTTTGCTAGAGTGCATTTGGATGATCCAGAAGAGGATTGGGAGAATGTCATATGGTCAGATAAAACCAAAATATAACTTTTTGGTAAAAACTCAACTCGTCGTGTTTGGAGGACAAAGAATGCTGAGTTGCATCCAAAGAGCACCATACCTACTGTGAAGCATGGGGGTGGAAACATCATGCTTTGGGGCTGTTTTTCTGCAAAGGGACCAGGATGACTGATCCGTGTAAAGGAAAGAATGAATGGGGCCATGTATCGTGAGATTTTGAGTGAAAACCTCCTTCCATCAGCAAGGGCATTGAAGATGAAACGTGGCTGGGTCTTTCAGCATGACAATGATCCCAAACACACCGCCCGGGCAACGAAGGAGTGGCTTCGTAAGAAGCATTTCAAGGTCCTGGAGTGGCCTAGCCAGTCTCCAGATCTCAACCCCATAGAAAATATTTGGAGGGAGTTGAAAGTCCGTGTTGCCCAGCGACAGCCCCAAAACATCACTGCTCTAGAGGAGATCTGCATGGAGGAATGGGCCAAAATACCAGCAACAGTGTGTGAAAACCTTGTGAAGACTTACAGAAAACGTTTGACCTGTGTCATTGCCAACAAAGGGTATATAACAAAGTATTGAGAAACTTTTGTTATTGACCAAATACTTATATACTTATTTTCATTTGCAAATAAATTCATTAAAAATCCTACAATGTGATTTTCTGGATTTTTTTTCTCATTTTGTCTGTCATAGTTGACGTGTACCTATGATGAAAATTACAGGCCTCTCTCATCTTTTTAAGTGGGAGAACTTGCACAATTGGTGGCTGACTAAATACTTTTTTTCCCCCACTGTACATAAAGAGAGAACTAAGACAACAACATAGCATGGCAGCGACACATGACAACACAGCATGGTAGCAACACAACATCACAACAACATAGTAGCAACACAACATGGTACAGACATTATTGGGCACAGACAACAGCACAAACGGCAAGAAGGTAGAGACAACAATACATCACGCGAAGCAGCCACAACTGTCAGTAAGACTGTCAATGATTGAGTCATTGAATGAAGAGATGGAGATAAAACTGTCCAGTTTGAGTGTTTTTTGCAGCTTGTTCCAGTCGCTAGCTGCAGCGAACTGAAAAGAGGAGCGACCCAGGGATGTGTGTGCTTTGGGGATCTTTAACAGAATGTGACTGGCTGAACGGGTGTTGTATGTGGAGGATGAGGGCTGCAGTAGGTATCTCAGATAGGGGGGAATGAGGCCTAACAGGGTTTTTATAAATAAGCATCAACCAGTGGGTCTTGCGACGGGTATACAGAGATTACCAGTTTATAGAGGAGTATAGAGTGCAGTGATGTGTCCTATAAGGAGCATTGGTGGCAAATTTGATGGCCGAATGGTAAAAAGATATCTAGCCGCTCGAGAGCACCCTTACCTGCCAATCTATAAATTACATCTCCGTAATCTAACATGGTTGGATGGTAATCTGAATCAGGGTTAGTTTGGCAGCTGGGGTGAAAGAGGAGCGATTACGATAGAGGAAACGAAGTCTAGATTTAACCTTAGCATGCAGCAATGATATGTGCTGAGAGAAGGACAGTGTACTGTCTAGCCATACTCCCAAGTACTTGTATGAGGAAACTACCTCAAGCTCTAAACCCTCAGAGGTAGTAATCACACCGGTGGGGAGAGGGGCATTCTTCTTACCAAACCACATTACCTTTGTTTTGGAGGTGTTCAGAACACGGTTAAGGGCAGAGAAAGCTTGTTAGACACTAAGAAAGCTTTGTTGTAGAGTGTTTAACACAAAATCCGGGGAGGGGCCAGCTGAGTATAAGATTGTATCATCTGCATATAAATGGATGAGAGAGCTTCCTACTGCCTGAGCTATGATGTTGATGTAAATTGAGAAGAGCGTGGGGCCTAGGATTGAGCCTTGGGGTACTCCCTTGGTGACAGGCAGTGGCTGAGACAGTAGATGTTCTGATTTTATACACTGCACTCTTTGAGAGAGGTAGTTAGCAAACCAGGCCAAAGACCCCTCAGAGACACCAATACTCCTTAGCCGGCCCACAAGAATGGAATGGTCTACCGTATCAAAAGCTTTGGCCAAGTCAATAAAAATAGCAGCACAACATTGCTTAGAATCAAGGGCAATGGTGACATCATTTAGGACTTTTACGGTTGCAATGACACATCCATAACCTGAGCGAATACCAGATTGCATACCAGAGAGAATATTATAGACATCAAGAAAGCCAGTCAGTTGATTCTTGACAAGTTTTTCCAACACTTTTTATAAACAGGGCAAAATACAAATTGGCCTATTACAGTTAGGATCAGCTTGATCTCCCCCTTTAAATAAAGGACGTACAGTGGCTGCCTTCCAAGCAATGGCAACCTCCCCAGAGAGGAGAGACAGGTTAAAAAGGTCAGAGATAGGCTTGGCGATGATAAGGGCAGCAACCTTAAAGAAGAAAGGGTCTAAACCATCTGAACCAGATGTTTTTTTGGGGGGTCAAGTTTAAGGAGCTCCTTTATCACCTCAGACTGCAGGGAGAAACTTTGTAGCGGGGCAGGGGAAAAAGAGGGATGAGCATCAGGGCTAGTCGTATTAGAAGTGGTGGGAGATGAGGAAATGTTGGACGGGCAATGAGGCATGGCTGAGTCAAATAGGAATCTTGACTTCATGAAGTGGTGATTAAAGAGCTTAGCCATGTAACAACCACATCATCAACATTAAGGCAGCTGTGAGGAGGAGGGTTTATTCTCCAGGTCTTTAACCGTTTTCCAGAACTTCTTGGGGTTAGACCCACAGAGAGAGAACTGCTCCTTAAAGTAACTACCTTTGGCCTTCCAGATAGCCTGAGTGCACTTATTTCTCATTTGCCTGAACGAGAGCCAGTCAGCCTGAGTATGCGTGTGCCGAGCCTTTCACCAAATGGAATTCTTGAGGTGGAGTAACTCTGCCAGATCACGGTCGAACCAGGGGCTGAAACGGTTTTTAATTCTCATTTTCTTTATGGGGGCGTGTTTGTTAACAATACCACTGAAAATATCAAAAAAGAAGGTCCAAGCATCTTCGAGAGAAGGTCAAGCTGATTCTATACC